AAAGGCATTGATGTTGAAAAGTAAGATGATCATTCTCAAATCTGAGAGAAGTAGATGGAAATTTAGTTGGAAAAGAAAGAATACCGGATGATGATTGAATTGCCATAACACCATGTTCTGTGATAGAAGAAGTCTTTGAAGATGAAGCTGGAGTCTCTGTAACTTTAACTTGAGCATTAAGTTGTTGCAGCAATGATTGCACTTGATCACTATTCAATGTGTTGATGTCCAAATTCACAGCTTGTGCAGGAGGAGAAACATACTGTGATGAAGATTCAGAAATAACATTTGCCACTGTATGTGATTGAGGAGGACGAGAAGCATTTGGTGTCTGTCCCCTATATTGAAATTGAGTTGATACTGGCCTTTGAGATCCCTGGTAACCAGCAAATGTGCTTTTGAAACCTGGAATATAGCCTGGAGGATATCCATGCAACTTAAAGCATTTCTGAACCACATGCCCAGACTGTCCACAATGAGTACAAACAGGTCTCGATGATCTCGGTCTATAGTTGGTTTGAACAGCTGCATAAGCACTGTTATCATAAGGACCATTGTAAGCAACCGGATTTGGAGCCTGTGAGTAGTAACCAGCATCATGAGCAGCATTATCAGAAGCTTGAAAAATCATACTCTCTGGCCTTGGTTTGATTGTCTTTTGTCTTTCATCAGATGTAACCATGTTGAAAGCATCCTCTAGACCTGGCATTGGTTTTAACATCAATATATGCCTTCGAGTAGACTCATATGATTCATTCAGCCCCATTAAGAATTTAGTAACTCTGCTCCTCTGCTGCAATTTTTCCCACAATGTTGCAGCATTACATTCACACTTCCCACATGTGCATACTGGTAACTCTACATAGTTCTTATATTCCTCCCACAAAGTAACTAAAGCTGTATAATAAGCTGTGACTGTCATGGAACCTTGTTGTATTGAACCTAGTTTTTGTTCTAGTTCATATACTCTAGGTGCATCATCCTGCTTAAATCTAGCCATAAGATTGTTCCAAATACCTTCAGCTGTCGAGATGAACAATAAACTTTGCCCAATTTGCTTATCCACAGAGTTTATCAGCCAAGTAGTGACTATATCATTGCAGCGAGACCAAGATCCAAAATCGCTATGGTCTTCTGAAGGTTTCGGAATCGTTCCATCAATAAACCCAAGCTTATTGCGAACATTAAGAGCCATTCGAACCGATCTACGCCAAGAATAGAACTCTGCACCAGATGTGAGTCGATCGGAAACAATACTCATCCCCGCGTGATCGGAACTATGTAAGAAATATGGATTATCATACTGATCTGTTGAAGTACGAGTCGTCGGACGATTAGGCGATGAAGGTGCCATTAGATCCAAGAAAAAACCTCGCGAGTGTTGATTTGAAACAAAAATTCAATCGAGTGATAAGAAACAGAAAAGAATTGAAAGAAAGTGAAGAATCGCGGAAGAACAAGTGAAGAAGAAAAGAAAAACAAGATTGATGATGAGAACGATGAAAATACTCCGATTAGAAACACTCATTGATGAAATCGAAGCTTAAGAAAGTAAAATCGAAGCAAAAAGTTGAAGAAACAAGCTCATCGGAGCTGAATCAGAGAAGATGATGATGATGAATGAGAACGGAGAGTGAAGAAGGTTGTTCGAGCTCTGATACCATATTAACACTCTCAAATATTAAAACTGATTCTCATTAATGTTTCCTAAGTCTGTACAACAGTATTTATATGTACATGTATATCAGATAAGATATAAGCTAAAGGAGACTTATATCTTCTAACTATACAATAAACCTTATACACATATATGTTAATACCATGGTGAAAGGCACGAACTCTGAGCAAGCCCTTGTCGGAGAAACTTCGAGCCATCTCCGAAGGAGACAACAAGTTACCTCTACTGTTCAAGATGAAGCCGAGAATGTCGGAGGAGATGTTGGGGCAAGATCGGGGACGTTGTTCAAGCTAGATCTCCTTGATTGTCCCGTTTGCTGTCACGCACTCACCGTTCCAATCTTTCAGGTCTTTGTTTTTACTTGGTCGTTACGTGCGTCCCTTTGGTGTTAATTCTGAGTTTTTGTTTTTGAAAAAAATCATATTGTGAAAACGTTGTATTAGCTATGTGTGAGTGTGACACTTTAACATTTTTAATATCACAATGGTTAGTAAGATACGTTTTTATAATTTGGTTCTATAAGTTCTAACGTTGGTGACTTTGAAAACTGCTTTCTCTAAAATAATCTTCACTACCACATTGAGTTGATAAGTTTTGCTAGATATAAAAAAGGCATTGCTTCGGTCTTTTATCTTTATATATGATATAGATTGGGTAATAATAACTAACTGTGTGATTTTTAATTTCAGTGTGACAAAGGACATATAGCTTGTTCTTCTTGCTGTCCTAAACTGGAAAACAAATGCCCTGCTATCTATTGTGCTTTGCCGATTGGTACATACCGAAGCCGAATAATGGAGAGAGTTGTTGAAGCAGTCATTGTTTCATCTCCAAACGATGGTGGCGAAGGAGAGAATGGTAGAAGAACAGCGACTAGAAATGTAGACAGTGATGTGGTGATATCGGAGGCACAATCTGGAACTGGAACACTGATCGATTTACATCTTCTTGATTGTCCTGTTTGCTCTGACGCACTCACGAGTTCTATCTTTCAGGTATTATTGTCCAACTTCCCCTCTCTTCTTCGCTTGTTGATTCAAAGGAAAAGTCCTAGTGGTAAATGTCTTAGGCTTTTAGAAAACAATCATTTACGTATAGTAGACTATGCTAATTTCATTACAATTTCAAAATGAAGAACGTAGAAATTTACTAGGACAAGTGTTAGAGGAGCATTTTTTTTGTTGATCGTTAAGGATAACTTTAACTAGCTAGATTTGTATAAGCTTGTATTTGGTTCTAGTTTCATTGACTTGTAATCCATGTAACTAACTCTGTGTGTGTTTAAATTTGCTTCACAGTGTGACAATGGACATATAGCTTGCTCTTCTTGCTGTACTGAACTGAGGTATAGATGCCGTTCATGCACTTTTCCCATTGGTAACTACCGATGCAGAAGAATGGAGAAAGTGGTCAAATCAATCATTATCCCATGCCCAAACGCCAAACATGGCTGCACCGAGACATTCTCTTATGGCAAAGAGTTAGTCCATGAGAAGAAATGCAGCTTTACTCTGTGCTACTGTCCTGCGCCGAACTGCAACTACTCGGGCTTGTACAAGGATCTCTACATTCACTACAAGAGTAACCACATGGACATAGAGAATCAATTCGTGTGTGGCCGTCCCCTTTGCACATGGTGGCGAATAAGTGAGAAAGTCTTTGTCCTTCAAGAATCTGCAGATGGTCCCCTTGTTGTGCTTCAACGTTTCAATAAGCCCGGAGGATGGTATGTGACTGTGAACTGTATAGCACCTTGTGCTCCAGGAGTTGGGGAGTTTTCCTATGAGCTCTCGTACGGTACGCCGATGGGAGGTTACAAACACATTATGACGTTTAAATCATCGGAGATGAATAGAATCCATAAAGTGAGCTTCCAAACTCCTGAAAAAGACTTCATGTTAATCCCTCACTATTTCCAGTATCCGAGGAATTCATTGAAAATGACTATTTGCATCAAAAAAGACATGAAAGAAGAAGGTGAAGACTAAGAGGAGTGATTATCATATCACATCCATTGTTGGTTGTTTTGTTCTATTTTTATTGTAATCTCGAATCAGGGTTCTCTTCATTAGTTCTCGGTATTTCTTATAGTGTTAAGAACAATTGCTTTTGCAAGCTTTCATAATATTTCGATCTTTCTTGATACACATTGTAACGAATAGTGATTCAATGTGTAGCCTTTACTACACTGACTCTAATCTCTTATGGTTTTTATCATATGTTTTCAGTTCAAGGTTGTATCACTAGGCGTGCTAGGTAGTAATCCGGAACCAGACATCTTGCGAGGTTATACATAAAAAGAAAAATGTGGAATTCAGAACTAGCTATGTTTTTTCTAACAATTTATTTGATGTTTATTATATTTTTTTTTTTAGTTTTAATTTTTTTACAAAAGTTCAGTTTCATTTCTAAATATTTTGGGTCCTAACTTATCCTGGTCTGTAGCTCCGATCGTGAAGCTATCGGTTTTCTTGTTTCGTAGGGTCGACTCTCTATTGTCTGTTGAACGAGAAAGCTTTGAAGAAGTTAGGATTTGGCATCACTTATCAAAGAAGAATAGAGAAGGATTAAGAAGCTTCTTGTTTCTTAAAGTTATTTATGTTTCCTTTTCTTATTAGAACTTGGTTTTGGTATTTTTACTTTTAGTTAAGCTTATGACGGTTGTAAAATATATCTATAAATAGGTCTCTAAACATCAATAATAATTATCTTCCAACATTAAGCTAATTCCCTATAAAGTGGCTTGGGTTAAAGAAAGCTAAAGCTCTACGTTTTCTTTGTGTTCTTAGAACTAGTTACTACGTACGTATTACACTAGATCAATAGCCCCGGACGATAGAAAAGGCGAATTAGGGTTCCGATAGCTATGGCCGGAGAAGCGTCGAGCAGCCGCCAAAAGAGGCAACGACTAAAGAGGCAACGACTAAAGAGGCAACGACTTGTAGAAGAAGAAGAAGGAGAGAACGGTGGAGGAGATGTGGTGGCAAGATCTGGGACATTGTTGAACCTTGATCTTCTCGATTGTCCCGTTTGCTTTGACTCACTCAAGAAGACGAAACCTATCTTTCGGGTCTTTGTTTCTTACTTCTACCAAATATCTCCTTCTTTAACGTTTTGGAACCCTAACTTCAGTGACTTAGTTAGAAAGTTTCTGCCTTTATTTATGTTAAAATTTTGATTGAATTGCAAACTTAGTGTGGATGATAGTGAAATGATTCTTGTGTAAGCTTATGATATATTTGGTAATACTGTGTGACTGTACAAGCATTGCTACTTAACTAACTGTGTGGTTTTGAAATCTCAGTGTGACAGTGGACATGTCGCGTGTTCGTCGTGTTGTACTAAGATGATGAACATATGCCCTTCTTGTCGTCATCCCATTGGTGAGTTTCGATGCTCTATAATGGAAAAACTTGTCGAAGCAATTGTTGTTCAAAGAGAAGAAGAAGAAGACAAAGAGGAAGAAGAAGAAGAAGAAGGGGAGAATGGTGGAGGAACGAGGACTAAAAATGTAGACGGTGATGTTGTGATCTCGGAGGCACGCTCAGGGACATTGTTCGATCTAAATCTTCTCGATTGTCCTGTTTGCTCTAACGCACTCACGAGCCCTATCTTTCAGGTATTATCTTCTTTTCACCACTGCTCTTCAAAACTTTGATGTGCTCAGAAGTGAATGTTAATTTCATTACAGTCACCAAAATGATTTGCAAATACCGATAGAATATTCATAATGGATGATTCTTTCTTCCTAGATAACATATGAATTACCAGTTTTAGATTTGTATAAGCTTGTGTTTTGCATTGACTTGTAATCCAAGTAACTAACTCTGTGTGTATTTAAATTTGCTTCTCAGTGTGACAATGGACATATAGCTTGCTCTTCTTGCTGTATTAAACTGAGGTATAGATGCCATTCATGCAATTTTCCCATTGGTAACTACCGATGCAGAAGAATGGAGAAAGTTGTGAAAGCAGTCATTGTCTCATGCCCAAACGCCAAACATGGCTGCACCGAGACATTCTCTTATGGCAAAGAGTTAGTCCATGAGAAAAATTGCAGCTTTTATCTGTGCTACTGTCCTGCGCCGAACTGCAACTACTCGGGCTTGTACAAGGATCTCTACATTCACTACAAGAGTAACCACATGGACATAGAGAATCAATTCGTGTGTGGCCGTCCCCTTTGCACAATGTGGCCAATAAGTGAGAAAGTCTTTGTCCTTCAAGAATCTGCAGCTGGTCCCCTTGTTGTGCTTCAACGTTTCAATGAGCCCGGAGGATGGTATGTGACTGTGAACTGTATAGCACCTTGTGCCCCAGGAGTTGGGGAATTTTCCTTTGATCTCTCGTACAGTATGCCTGCGGGAGGCGACAAACACACTATGACGTTTCAATCATCGGAGATGAATAGAATTCATAAAGTTAGCTTCCAAAGTCCTGAGGAAGACTTCATGTTAATCCCTCACTATTTCCAGGATCCGAGGAATTCATTGAAGATGACTATTTGCATTGACCATTTACAAGAAGATGAAGATTTAGAGGAGTGATTATCATTTATCTATGCACTCAACGTTTATGACTCATCGTTTTTTTTTCTTTTTTTGTAATCTTGGATTCATATATCTCTCATAGTGTTAAGAACTATTGCTTTTGAAGGCTATCTTTCTTGATACACATTGTAACGAATAGTGATTCAATGCGTAGCCTTCACTACATAATCTCTTATGGTTTAATCATGTTTTTTTTTTGCAAGCTTTCATAATATTGATATTCTTGATACTAACACATTGTAATGAAGAGTGATTCAATGTTGTAGCCATTGCTACGGTGGCTCTAATCTCTTATGGTTTTGTCATATGTTTTTAGTACAAGTTTGTAATTCGGTACACACGAAGAACACCAAGAGTCCGGAGCCAAATATGTTGCGAGGTTTATACATAAAGAAAATTGTGGAATTCAGAACATTATATTTATATTTATTTGATTGCATCTCATCATTTTTGATGTTTAGATCAACGTTGATCTATGTTTGGTTTCCGAGGTTGAATGTTTTATCCTGAGTTTTTGACTTTTGCCTGGTCATATAAGTTTATTTGTCCCTGCTCTTGTTCATTCCCCAAATGCTTCTCTGTTCACATTTTTTTTTTTTTGAAACTAGGTGAATAAATAAATATAGCAAAAAAACAAGGTATATTTTTTCCAACAAAAAAGACAAGGTATTAAACGTCCAAATAAAAAATAGATCATGTATTTTTCAGTTTTTTCCCGAAGTAAAAACCCTTCGGAGACAAAGCCGGACATACATGAATAAAAGATAATATTATATGAAAGTTATATCAAGAGATTATTTAATCGAAATGAATTATTTCCATAAATTAAAATAAAATGGATGGAATATATAAAATTAAAATAATTTACTCAAGCTTTTTCTTTTTATCCAGAAAAAAACAAAATTGATAAGGAATCATTCTCTTTTTTTTATACATATATCTTTTATTTTTTTGTTACAAAATGTAAAAACAGATTATTTAGCACAAAAAAATTATATCGAATCGCTAGTATTATGTCACGTATGTAAATAGTTTTCCTTTCTAATTGGCTCATTTAAGCTAATATATAATCTATATATTTTGTGGAAAAAAAGAATTTTGATGGAAAATAATACAAATTCTTTTGTTTAAATTAAGATCCTGAAAATAAAAAATAATCTCAACATTCTGTAAATTAAAGGATAAAATAACTATGGATGTCAAATAGGTAACCCGATCCGACCAAACCCACATGAGTTTGAAATTTTCGTAGGTGGGTTTAACCCGACCCATTATTATAATGGTAGAATTTTACATATGGCTAAACGGTAAATAAAATATGATTAAGAGTTAGAAAGAAAAAAAAGAAACTCGGAAAACGTGCCAGCGGGAAAATAGAAAAGGGGAATTAGGTTTTTTCTGATAAGCGATTCCGATCAAAAATCCAGACTTAATAGCTACTACTTCACTTAGAGAACTTGGAAGCTCCAATAGACTTGAATAATGACTGAGAATGTCTTGAATTCTTGAAAATATACTGCCATTCCTAATAGAGAGGATGGAGAAGCTGCAGTAAACTTAACAATAACTCCTTCAAAAATTCTGAAGAGAAGAAAAAATATTATTTTAACTATAATTATAATTTTTTTTAGTTGTAACTTTTAACCAAATGACAGCTGTTCAATTTTTTACTGAACCATCTCTCTAGAAAGAGATTTAAGAATTGAATCAAAATAAATCAATAATAAGAATTATGCTCATAACCGGTTTTCTATAAAAATGGCTAAATATTTAGGGACGGCCAGAAAATATATAAAAGCTTTGACTCTAATTATATAACCAAAGAGATTTTATGGCTAACATATGAATTTTCAATAAATATTTGGGGTTAAAACAGGACCCTATTAATATGATGTTTCAGTTAGCTTTGGTCCTAACTTATCATGTTTTAGTTAGCTTGGGTCCTAACTTATCGTGGTCTGTACGTAGCTCCGATCGTGAAGCTATAGGTTTTCTTGTTTCGTAGGGTCGTCGACGTTCTCTTGTATGTTGAAGGAGAAAGCTTTGAAGAAGTTGGGATTTGGAGGTGATACACGATTTGGTATCACTTATCAAAGAAGAAAGGATTAAGAAGCTTCTTGTTCCTTAAGTTATTTATGTTTCCTTTTTTTATTAGAACTTGGTTTTGGTATTTTTACTTTTAGTTAAGCTTATGACGGTTGTAAAAAAAATCTATAAATAGTTCTCTAAACATCAATAATAATTATCTTCCAACATTAACCTAATTCCCTAGAAAGCTAAAGCTCTACGTTTTCTTTGTGTTCTTAGAACTAGCTACTACGTATTACACTAGATCAATAGCCCCGGGACGATAGATAAGGCGAATTAGGGTTCCGATAGCTATGGCCGGAGAAGCGTCGAGCAGCCGCCAAAAGAGGCAACGACTAAAGAGGCAACGACTAAAGAGGCAACGACTTGTAGAAGAAGAAGAAGAAGAGAACGGTGGAGGAGATGTGGTGGCAAGATCTGGGACATTGTTGAACCTTGATCTTCTCGATTGTCCCGTTTGCTTTGACTCACTCAAGAAGACGAAACCTATCTTTCGGGTCTTTGTTTCTTACTTCCACCACTTTTCTCCTTCTTTAACGTTTTGGAACCCTAGCTTCAGTGACTTAGTTAGAAAGTTTCTGCCTTTAGATTAAAAATTTGAATCGCAAAATTAGTGAAATATGATTCTTGTGTAAGCTTATGATATATTTGGTAATACTGTGTGGTTGAAAAGCATTGCTACTTAACTAACTGTGTGGTTTTGAAATCTCAGTGTGACAGTGGACATGTCGCGTGTTCGTCGTGTTGTACTAAGATGGTGAACATATGCCCTTCTTGTCGTGATCCCATTGGTGAGTTTCGATGCTCTATAATGGAAAAAGTTGTTGAAGCAATCGTTGTTCAAAGAGAAGAAGAAGAAGAAGAAGAAGAAGGGGATAATGGTGGAGGAACGAGGACTGAAAATGTTGTGATCTCGGAGGCAGGCTCAGGGACGCTGTTCGATCTAAATCTTCTCGATTGTCCTGTTTGCTCTAACGCACTCACGAGCTCTATCTTTCAGGTATTATCTTCTTACTTTTTTTCACCACAGCTCTTCAAAATCTGATGGTTGATTCAAAACTTTGATGTGCTTAGAAGTGAATGTTAATTTCATTACAGTCACCAAAATGATGTGCAAATAGCGATAGAAAATGATAAGCTTGTATTTGGTTGTAGTTGCATTGACTTGTAATCCAAGTAACTAACTCTATGTGTATTTAAATTCACTTCACAGTGTGACAATGGACATATAGCTTGTTCTTCTTGCTGCACTAAACTAAGGCACATATGCCCTTCCTGCACTTTGCCCATTGGTATCTATCGATGCAGAATAATGGAGGAAGTTGTCAAAGCAATCATTGTCCCATGCCCAAACACCAAACATGGCTGCACCGAGACATTCTCTTATGGGAAAGAGTTAGTCCATGAGAAGAAATGCGTTTTCTCTATGTGCTACTGTCCTGCGCCAAACTGCAACTACAGAGGCTTATACAAGGATCTCTACATTCACTTCTATCGTACCCACTACAGCCACATGGAGGATAAATTCAACTGTGGCCGTCCCAATGAGGCATGGTTGCGAATAAATGAGAAGATGGTAGTTCTTCAAGAATTGAAGATTTCTGATGATGGTCCCCTTGTTGTGGTTCAGTGTTTCAATGAGCCCGGAGGATGGTATGTGACTGTGAACTGTATTGCACCTTCTGCTCCAGGAGTTGGGGAATATTCCTTTGATCTCAAGTACCAGGCGCCTGCGGGAGGCGAAAAACAAATTATGAGGTTTTATTCATCCGAGATGAATAGGATTCAGAAAGTGAGCTTCCAAACTCCTGAGAAAGACTTTATGTTAATCCCTCACTATTTCCAGGATCGGAGGAATTCAATTAAGATGACTATTTGGATCCACCGTTTACAAAAAAAAACATGAAAGAAGAAAGTGAAGACACTAAGAGTAGTGATCATTATCATATCACATCTGTTGTTGGTTTGTTTTGTTCAAGAATATATTTTGTGGCCTTCTCCTATCTATGCACTCTAGAATGTATTTCTTTTTATTTCTATCTTTCTTGATACCATACAGTGATTCAGTGCCTAGCCTTTACTACAAGTAACTCTATGAGCTGATCATATCAATGTTTTGAAGATGAGGTCTCTCACTTCTTTATTCAGTTTGAAGCACTTATCTAGAACTTGAAAGCTCCAATAGACTTGAATAATGACTGAGAACGTCTTGAGATAAAACTAAGAATTCACTTTCTAAGATTGATGTCATTGTCACTTTCAAATTTGAAAAAATGTTAAAGACTTTTTATACAAAATTTTATTAATATTTTTTCTTTTTTATTTGTCTGTTATTAATTTTGAAAAGGTGAAATACAATTTCAAATAAATAATATAAGCAAGAACCCTTCCGAGACAAAGCCGGACATACATGAAAGCAAATACAAAACATATATAAAAAAAACTGTATATGAAATTATTTTTTTTGGCCTAAAGAAAACATCATTATATGAGGATATAATTTGATCGAAATGAATAATTTACTTAAATTAAAATAAAATTGATGGAATATAATACAAAACATTTGCTTAAACTAAAATCCAAAATATTTTCCCCTCCATTTTACAAAACATTTGCTTAAATTAAACATAGAGATTTTTCCTTGTTTCACAAATAATGTCACTCTACAATTCCAATGTATTTTTTACACTAAATTTCTTAATTTACTCATAAATCAAAAGTCATTTTCATTGAATTAAATCATTTATCCTTTATTAAATAGGGATAAACATATATAATTATACATTTTCTTATTTAATACATGTGAATTATGTCAAAATAACACTTTTTCTCTCAAAAAATACCGTAAATAAAAAACCATTTCTCAAAAATAAAACAAAATAAAATAAAACGGTGAATAAAAGATGATTAATATAAGAGTTTAGAAAACAAATGTGTCTCCACAGATTCTGAAACTCGGAAAACGTTCCGGCGGGAAAATAGAAAAGGGGAATTAGGGTTTTACTCAATCTGATAAGCGATTCCGATCAAAATCGAGACTTAATAGCTCCAGATCTCCGATAACCATGGCCGGAGAAGCTTCGAGCAGCCGCCTAAAGAGACAACGAGTACCCTCCATTTCTCAATCCGTATGCCCAGAAGATGGTGGCGGAGGAGATGTTGCGGTGGGAACATTGTTCGAGTTAGATCTTCTCGAATGTCCCAGTTGTTGTCACTCACTCACCAGCCCTATCTTTCAGGTCTTTCTCTTCTTAAGCTTCTTGCTGTGATTCGTGTGGCTTATAGTTTTGTTAGAGGAGATCAGTGAAAATCTTGGTAACAAGGATTCGTATCGAACACTTTTTGTTTATATTGATCGAAGAGAAAACAGAGTCTTGTGTTGTGATTTGTGAATGTGAATAAACTGCTTGAAGAAACAGAATTGATGATTGTTCCTTCCTAGGGTAACATATGAGTCTGTATTTGGTTATAGTTTTAGTGATTTGTAATCTGAATAAACTAAGTGTTGTGAGTTTTGTGTGTCTCAGTGTGACAATGGTCATATCGCGTGTTCTTCTTGTTGTGCTAAAACGAGGAACGAATGCCTTTCCTGCAAGTTGCCTATTGGTAAGTATCGATCTAGAATAATGGAGAGAGTTGTTGAAGCAGTCATTGTTCCTTTGCCCAGTGTAGCCAAAAATGCCTTCGCTGGAGAAGCGTCGAGCAGCCGCCTAAATAGGCAACGAGTTCCTTCTGTTGTTGGAGAAGAATGCGAGAATGGTGAAGGAGATGTGGTGGTACGATCTGGGAAGTTGTTCGAGCTAAATCTTCTCAATTGTCCTGTTTGTAGTGATGCACTCACGGGTCTTATCTTTCAGGTGTTGTTACTACTTCTCCACTGGTTCTTCTTCCTGGTTGATTTAGAGTTTGGAAACTGCTGTGATAGTGTGAGTTTAGGATGATTAGTGTAAGAATCTTTTAGGATCACTATGATAAGGTAGATGTTAATTTCATTTCAGGAGGTTATTGAAATGTGGTTAACAATGGTTAGATGTTAATTTCATTTCAGGAGGTTATTGAAATGTGGTTAACAATGGCTAGATGTTAATTTCTTAACAATGATTCATAAAGCACTTTTTTTTTTGTCCTTTTGATCACATAACAAAAGAGTCCTGTGAATATTTATTTTGCTTGAAGAAATATAATGGATGGTTGTCCTTCCCAGATAACATGTATGACAGTATGAGTTACCAATTTTAGCTTTCTATATGCTTGTATTTGGTTCTAGTTTCATTGACTCGTAAACTGTAATCCTAGTAACTAACTCTATGTGTTTTGCTTCTCAGTGTGACAATGAACATATAGCTTGTTCTTCTTGCTGCACTAAACTAAGGCACATATGCCCTTCCTGCACTTTGCCCATTGGTATCTATCGATGCAGAATAATGGAGGAAGTTGTCAAAGCAGTCATTGTCCCTTGCCCAAACGCCAAACATGGCTGCACCGAGACATTCTCTTATGGCAAAGAGTTAATCCATGAGAAGAAATGCAGCTTTGCTCTGTGCTATTGTCCTGCGTCGAACTGCAACTACTCGGGTGTGTACAAGGATCTATACAGTCACTACGCTGCTAATCACAAGAACATTTACAAGCGTTTCAGTTACGGCTATTCCCATCATGCATGCTTGGGCATCGATTGTAATATTGTGGTCTTTCAGGAATATGGAGATGGTCCATTGGTTGTGGTTCAGTGTTTCAAGGAACCACAAGGAGTGTTTTTGACTGCGAACTGTATAGCACCTTCTGCTCCTGGAGTTGGAAATCTCTCCTATGATCTATCATACTCCACAGCAGGTAAAACTGTGACGTTTAAATCGTCGGAGATGAATAGGATCCAAAAAGTGAGCTTCCAAACTCCGGAGAAGGACTTCATGATTATTCCTGACTATTTATTGAGTCGGGTGGGTTTGTTAAAGAGTATCCGTATTTGCATCCGCAACTTAGGAAAAGAAAAAGAAAAAACTGAAGATGAAGAAGAAGAGGAAGAAGATGAAGATGAAGATGAAGATGAAGATGAAGAGGAAGAAGATGAAGATGAAGAAGAGGAACTTGAAGAAGAAGAAGAAGAAGAAGTTGAAGAAGATGAAGACTACGGAATTATCATAACATAGCCGTTGTTGACCATTTTGTGCATATAACCTATCAATGCATTGTCTGTTGTTTTTTTCTTTGTCTCCTGCAACTTCAAAGCTGGTACTGAGTTGCTTAAAACTTAAGTTCCTCTGCAGATCTTCTCAGTCTTTCTCTTATGGGCCTATTGGTCTTAGTTATGTTCCACTCTGTGAAGTACTGATTTGATTCTACAAACTTCCTCTGATGCAATTCACATTTGGTGAGATCGTTTCTGCTATTCTGTAGCCTCTCATGAATCTTTCAATATACATATTACTTTGTGTCTTCTTCTTTTCTTTATTTCCTTGAATAAACACAAAAATACATCACAGACCAAACTTCCTCTCATACATAAAAAAAGGACATGACAAGAAGTGAAGAAACAATCAGTCTCTACCATGATAACATAAAAAAGCTTGATAGGTTTTATTGTTTAAACCAAAACAGCAAATGTTGTCAAGAAAACACAGTGTCTCCATATGAAAATGAAGGAAACTCATTCTGCCAAAACTGGTCATAGTCCACCAAGAAATCGTTAATATCACATCCTTGGTTCATGGTATGGTCTCTGGCCTTGTCATCAATTGTGATTGCTTGGTGATCAGTTGATGTAGGCATAACCAGTTCAGACTTAACTTGGTCAAACTGTATCATTTCTGAACCGTACGTTTCATCATAAACCTCAAAAGCTTTACATGTATGTTGTCCCATATAACTTGTTCTAAACACTGGAGGACTATCTTTGATCATCTGCACCCGCTTTGTAGCATTGCAGTTTCGGTCTTTCGCATATGCACACCGATAGTAAGACCTGCAAATATCATCTCATTCTTGAATTTTTCTCTACGTAGGGAAAAAAACATAGCTACTTGTATTCTCATGTCATTCATAAAACAGAGAAACACAGCCATTAGCTCTGTTTTTGCTAACCTTTGGTGCACTGAGGTTTTGATAGTCTTTTGTCCATATTTCCTCCAGGCGAAGCCGTCATCAGGTCGTGGATTCGGGGACTCGTGATCTCTGTAATTCTCAGGCTTCATATCTTTTATCCCACAAATCCTCTGCAATATTGTAACAAGAACTCATGAACTTTTTTGTATAGAATATGCAAAGAGAGTTTGTATCTTTTTTGTTTGTAACTTACTTCTTTGACGATCTTTGATGCACAAGAGCTGCCATGTTTTGACAAGAAGAAGACTCAAGGAGTTGTGGAGGGGTAGGAGAATCCACAAAAGATAGAGCAAGTGAGAAAGAATCAAGAATGGTATTGATCAATGGCTCTATCAAGACAGAACTTATTTCGCGGTTGTCAAGAAGCGTCTTGAGGTTGTTAGCACATCCTTGGCCATGAAGAAGTGCTGCCAAAGCTTTGTGATCTATGTTAGAAAACATTTTTTTTGGTTTAAGGTTGAGAAAAATCTTGTTCAATTCTGAATATATATAGAGAAAAAAGTTCTATGGCCGACCATTTTCCGTTTTTAGTTTATATTATAGTGTGGAAAGTTTCAAACATTTTGTTAAAATTATTTTTAAAATCATTTGGTAGCTCGTAAAGGTTTTAAAACTCACCAAATACAAATATACAAATCTTAATTAACTCACTCCACATTTTTTCTTTTTTTCCCTTACACCGTTTCCCACTTTGGTCCTAATAAGACCGTCAACTCGCTTTCGGTATTGATTTCTAATAAGTGTTGTCTTGTGTTGTGTCCTTATAATCACATTGTGCGTCATGGCCGCCACATTGTTCGTCATGGTCGTGACGTAAAGATAGAAATATATTTGGTATCATAGCAAAGGAAAGAGATAAGAGAAAGAAAAAGTCACTGATGTAAAGCCGTGGGTTTTGTATACATTAATGGTATTGTTCGAGTTTTTGTTTCCGGTCATCAGCAGAATTCGATCATCTCCTTCGACCATCGCAAAGGTTTTTTTCGTTTTCTTGTTTTTATAACCGGAGAAATTTATTAATAATATAATTAAATTAAATTAAAAAAGAAATCGCCGGCAGTGAAATTTACTATTTTATGAGTTAAATATTTTTTAAATTATGTTGTTATTTTAATAAGTTTATTGTATATATAAAAAGTTAAAATTAAATGTTTTCATGCTTGTTTAACAATATTGTTTACAAAAAGAATTACTTTAGTTAATAATTAAAATTTGAATGCATCTATTTATTTTGTTGTTATTATATATGAATTTGATGTGACATAGTAACATACTACTAACATCCATATTTTGATAGAAACCACAGTTAAATTCCGCAAACTTAACAATTCACGTAAATTGATTCAACGGTTGCTATTTATTTATACTATATTGAATATGTTATAATGTCATAATTCACATAATCACAAGTTATAAGTCACAACCAAAAGAGAGCTATGACTTTTTCATAGTTAAACTAAAAGAGCCAGGGCAACCTATTCTTGACTTGTTGTCAACTTGCCATATCCAATTAAAAGAAGATAATCATATAAATTTTTCATTTACATATCTAATCAATGACAAAATGTTTATATAATTAACTAATCATAAATTGTAGATGAGTCATTGGTTTCTTTTTGTAATCTCTACGAAAGTGGCAAGTTTCATTTTGTCAAATTACATGCAACTGTATATAGAAATGGAGAAACTCTTTTATGATAAAAATCAAACTTAAGTCTAAAATTATAAATCTTATCAAATATAACTAAATACGATCCTTTTTGTACATATCACACGGTTTAATATTAATTTAATTAGGAGAATTCATCTGGTTTTGTTATGATTTGTCTAAATTTATACTTGGAACATTCCTTCTCTTTTCCCTATTTTTCCCATCCAAATTGTTTGTTCTTTTCCCCTCACCTAATAAAACACGTCTTACGTTGTTTTTATTTTCTTTCCTGACGCAGTTTTATCTATTCCTCATGTGCTGACGAAAGAGAGTGAGAGGCAGAGAGAGAGAAGAAAAGACAAGAAAGTAAAGTTGTCATTTTACTAACCAACAACTCAAACTCTTAACTCATAATTAATTAACAAATTAATTGTAAATTATATGATGAAATAATACGAATGAGAGCCATTTGCGTAGCTTCATGAAATCTTTGGTGTTTGAATGCATGCATTGCATAGCCATAGGGCCAAACTATGTGGAAATGTGTAAGTAAAACAGAATAAGCAAATTCTATTTCTCGTTACTCACTTTTTATCCACAATATATGTTTCACATTACGTAAAAGAGAGAAAAAGACGTCATGACGATCGATGAGAGGATAAAACCATTCTTAATGCAAAGTTCTTGCACAAATTTTAAGGTAAGATTTGTGAAGAAAAATATAAAAAAATTTCTTCATAAATCTTACGAACTTTGCATTAAGGATGGCATAAAGTTATGATCATTTTTCTTGTCCGTGATTTTATTTTTTTTACTTTCGTAAATGCTTCTAAAGAGTCATATAATCTTTTTCATAATTAACTTAATCATAAGTTGATTATGAATTTTATGATTAGGTCGCTTTGTCTAGGCCCCATGCATGCAAAAAAAAAAAAGATAAGCAACCCATTTTTGACTAATTTTAGAAGTGAACTTAAGGAAGTAATAATGATTAGGTAAAAGAAAAATATAACCTTTATGAAACTCTACATTTGTCTTTTTTTCCTCACAACCTTTCCCACTTTGGTCTAATTACAAGCCAGTCAACTCACTTTCGGTATTGATAGTTTATTCCATAAGTGTTGTCTCATGTCGTTATACCACATTTTGTGTCATCCCTATGACAAAAAGATAGATTTTGGTCTTAGATAGCAATGAAGGAAGGAGATAAGAGAAAGAAAAAGACAGAGAGGTTAGAGAGATGGCTCATATAAAATAATTTAAACTATAAAAACTAGATATACCTACTTTTTTAATTATTAAAGGGGTTTAAAATATATATATGATTGGAGGACGAAGAAAAACATATATTAGAAAGTTTAACCAAAGAGGGACCAGCAAAAAAGTTATAATATTTTTACGAGTTACACATTTTCGAAATTGTGTTGTTATCTTAATAAAATTATTAAATAAAAATAATATTTTCATTTCTTTATTTAATTATAGTAATATAAATGAAGAAAAGAAAAAATTTTAATCGATACTTATAGAATTTTATTTGCATAATTATTCAAGAAAAATTGGACTCAGTTGTTGATTGAATTTTATGTTACAATCATTTTTTCATTAAAGTTTAAATATATGTATAGTTATAAAATATGAAATTTACGAAAAATACGAAATATATGAAGACAAACATATATTAGAAATTTTAACTAAAAAATACCAGCGAAAAAGTATTCTATTTTTACGAGTTACACATTTTTCTAAATTACGTTGTTATCTTAATACAAATTATTAAATAAAGAAAAGTCATTAGACGAGCCAGCGCAACCTATTATTGACTTGTTTGTTGCCAACTTGCCATATCCAATTAAAAGAGGATTATTAGATTGTAATTTTGTTATTTTCATATCCAAACTACGTCAACCAAATCAACATCAATGAAAAATGTTTTTGATAATTAATGATTAACTAATCATCATAATTAGATGAGTCATTTGGTTTCTTTTTGTAAGCCATACGGAAATTGGCACATCCCATTGTGCCCGTAGATTTTTAAAAATGTCAAAATTACATTTAACTATCAGCAAATGGAGAAACTCTTTTATAATAAAATCAGGTTCAAGGTGATAGACATATCTATACACACAATTGAGAAAAGAAAAAAAGAGCTAATTAATTTGTAACTGAAGATAATTTATTGTCCCTTCAAGTTAATTATATCGGTGAAGATTTATACACTTTCCATATTATTTTAAGTGATATTTAAGGTTGTAATACACAGACTAACAAAACATATAATTTTTATCTTTTCCATAAAAATAGTATCAAGTACAATAAATTTAACCAATAAAAAATATGATGTATAATATAATTGGTCAAAAATTATTAAATACATTTAATATTTACATAAAAATTTGAAAACATCACTTAAAATAAAATAACTTTTTTAGGCTAAAACATCATTTTAAACTGAAACGGAGAGGCTACTTTTTATTTAAAACAAATACAATGTAATGATATTAATTTCAGGTAACTTTGACTTCACATATTAAAACCATGCATAAATTTTATGTACACATTTGGGTATTTTATGCATAAACATTCGACAAACAATATTATAAACGAAACAGAGAAAAGTATAAACACACTTCGGATTAATTAAACTCCGATCTTCGAAAGTAATTAAGGATTGACCCTTTCTTTCTGACAAGGTAGATTAGGATACTTAGGACTACAACCCCATGCATGATCTTGAGCGAGAGCATCATAGCTTATCACCACTTCTTGTGCATGATCTTGAGCGAGAGCATCATAGCTTATCACCACTTCTTGTGCACTGGTCTTGAGTGTGGCAAGTGTGAAGAACACCATAACAAGAGCCACATATATAACAATAGCCTTCACTAATTTCTTAGACATAACCATCTTTTTTTTTTGATTGAATGAAGAAAATAAGTAAATGAAAATATATCTATAAAAAGATTGGATTTTGTCGTTGTTGTTGTTGTGTGAGAAAAATGTAGGGATCATTGATGCTTTAAATAATATAGGAGGTGGGAGACAACAATATTGTTATATTTCTTTCTTTTTTTGGCATACAACAATATTGTTATTTTATACTGTAAACATTAGTTCTAAAATGCTGTATATTGTTATTTTACTATTTAAGTGCTTAAAAATTAGTTTCACGTCATAATTTTTAAGAGATATGGAAAGTTTTAAGATCTTGTTATTTATCATTGCAAGTTTGCAACAAACTACGCAATGAACAGTTGAATAAGATTATGTTTAGAACAAAAATGCAGACAGAATTATGTACTTTTTTTCTTCTGAATGGTACAAAAACAATAAGCTGCCAATTTATGTTTCAACAAAAAGAAATATTTTTGTTAGTCAGTTGGTTTATTCTACGTAATTACGCTATAGATGCTGGGTCGTCACCCTTGGTAAATTAGTAATTAGATACATGCTTTAATATTAAAAATTTACTGAGTCGACTTCTCCCCAAAAAACCACCATACTGTCTATTCCGAGTTTCAAATGTTTTCCGACGATTAATGTTAGGAAATATTCAGACCCCCTGCATTTCTAACTATTGAGTCTTAGTCCAATTAACAAACTTTTCACACAATAATAATTTTTGTTTTTAGGATGGATCGAACCTAAGTTAGTTTCTTTCAACTTTTCTCCAATTTTATTCGGACTTATGATTAGATTGTTATGTCTTCAGTTCAACTATAGCTAGGTAATGTTTTAAATTTTGGTGCATGCAAATCTCATATCAAACATGCAAAAACATTATTATCGATGCAAAAATATGGTGTTATATAGTGGAGCAGGTTTAAGGTTTACTTTGCGGACTTCATTCATCACACCACACGACCTAAAAAGAGAAAGAGACAAACAAAAAAAAACAAAAGGTAGAGAAAGAGACCAAAGATCTCCTCTCATTTCGTGCTGCCTTTGAAAAAACCAAAGATCTGATAATTGGGTCACATGAAAGCTGCGCAACCTTATTTTGACTTCTTGTTGTCGTAGCCATTTTAAGGTGGATAAGCTTTGAATTCGTTGTTTTTAATTATTTCATGTAATTTTGTACACTTATGTTCTTTTTTATTTTATTTTCAACTTCATATTAATTAAACATAACTAGAAAGTGACGGTAATCGCATATATGTGGAAAACTAATACTAATAGTGTGAACCAAAAATGTTTATCTATGCTTAATTAGTCTTTTTTCTTATTTACCAAAAAAAAAAATTAGTCTTTTTTCTTCAATTTGGTGGAATTGTACTCTTGTTTCATACACGTATGCCAAAATATATATATTTTAAAAACCAATTTAGTTTCTTCTTAGACTTTTTAGGAAACAAAACTAATACCTATGAATGAGAAGATTTTTCATGATGTCAAAACAATTGTTAAGAAACCCCATTTGGCAAATTAGATAACAATTTTAAAGTAATTATATCACAAAATCCGTCAGATAAACAAAAAATCTAGGCCTCACGAAAATGATGTCTATTAGACTACTACTACATATGAAGTATATATTGAAGTATCGAACTATACATGCATGCTTTAACCAACTAACCCAACCAAAACAAAAATAAAAAATTCGTCCACTGGCATTATAAAATTATTTACACACTTCCACGAAAATAATGACACTTATTATGTTTATTTCGTTATTAGAAAAATAGGCCGACGTTTACTTAGAATCGCATAATCCAGATCATTCCAAATCCAGTGATCAAAGGAGATAGAATAATATGTTAAAGAAAGGAGAAAACGACATCTCTATATTCTATAATCATTCCAAATCCAGTGAACAAAGAATTTAGATCACAAACACATACATATCTATATATGTATATCATATGTGTATATTGGTAATGTTGGTTCAAAGTCCATGTCAACATGCAATTTTTTATTTTTTATTTATTTTGTATTTATTCATTCAACAGTCAGTATGTTGTGTTAATGGTTCTTCTTTTAATTTTTTTACCAACTTCTTATTCATCTATATACTTTTTTCTATTTATGTTAATTTAAAAAAATTTGCATTTAGTATCGCAGACTTTAGTTAAATTTTATATGATCACGAAATTATTAAAATGTTAATTTACTAATTTCTCAACACTAGTTTACTTAAATAACAAAATATGAACCTACATTATATATATAATTTATATAAATCAAAAATTTTTACTGTAAATGTAAGGAAAATAAAAATTCAATGTATTAAAAAAAGAAAGGTTTCAGTACTATTTTTGGTATAAGAAAATACTAAAACAGTGAGGTTTACAAAAAAAAAAAAAAAATACTAAAACAGTGAATATTTACATATTGGATGATAATTATAAAAGATATGAATTTTCAATATTGTATCTAGGATGACAAAAATTATTATAAAAAAAAAATGTAACTATAGATATTACCTTTCTTTTATTTTGAATAAACGCAAGACTACACATAAAGGTGAAGCAAATGAATCTAAATTACAAAAACATGAAGAAACTATCAGTGAGAACATAGAAAGCAGCAATGTTTTCAAAAGAACATCGGGTCTTCCGATGGAAATGGTGGAAATTGATTAGCCCAAAATTGGTCATCATCCACCAAATAATCGTTAATATCACATTCTTGGATATTGTATGTGTCTTCTTCCTCCATGGTAATTGCTTGGTGGTTCATTGTTGTGAGTTGAGGCATAACTTGTTTGGACACAACTTGGTCGAACTGGATCATTTCCGAACCGTATGTATCATCATGAACTGCAAAATCTTTACACACATGTTTTCTCAAATAAGTTGTTCTGTACACTGGAGGATTGTCTTGGATCTTCTGCACCCGCTTTGTTGCGTTGCAGTTTCGGTCTTTGGCATAAGTACATCGATAGTAACACCTGTAAATATCGCGCTTTACTATGTCTTTCATAGATTAGAGAAGAGCATTCACTTTGCTTTTGTAAGAACATAACATTAGCTCTGTTTTTGTCTAGTCTCTTTACTTAACTAACCTTTGGTGCAAAGAATCTTTGATGGGTTTTTGTCCATATTTCCTCCAGGTGAAGCCATCATCGGGCCGTGGAGTCGGGGATTCGTCTCTGTAACTCTCTATACCTTCTATTCCGCAAATCTTCCTACAATGTTGTATGTGAGGATTCATCAAAAATATAGAAGATACTTGCATACTAGGAGACGACATAATATGTAAGAAGTCATGAACTTAATATATAACATATGCAATAAGAATTAAGATATTTGTTAGAAATTTACTTCTTCGAAGATCTTTCAGACACATGACCTCCCATGTTTTGAAAGGAAGATAGAACAAGCGAGAAAGAATCAAGAATACTATTGAGGAGTGGTTCTGTCCAAACTAGGCCGATTTCGCGGTTTTCGAGTAGCATCTTGAGATTGTTAGCGCATCCTTGGCCATGGAGAAGTGCTTCCACAGCCTTGTGATCAATTCTAGAAAACATTTTTATTTGTGTCTATGGAATCTTAGATGAAGTTTTTCTTTTCTTGATTGGCTTTGTGTTTGTATTAGCCCTGGGCACGAAGCGAATATTCGGAAAATTTGTGATATTTGTTATTTGCTTTGCCTCGACCGAATAGTTGATTTTGCTATTTGCTTCGATTTGTAAATTTTCGAGTATTCGGAACTTCGAATATTCGAATATTTTTCGTAATATTTGCGAATTACTTGCTTCGATTCGCTTCGACCCATCTAATTTTTTTTTAAAACAAATAACATATAGTACATAAATATAAAGTGCAAAATATGAAATATTAGAGGTTTTTATTTGACATGTTTTCAAAATAAGAAGAAAATTTAACCACCGTTCATAGAATTCTCACATTTAATTTTTAATAATAATTTTTATAGTAAAGTTTTATTTGCTTAAAAACAACATTTAGCACAAAAAAAACCCAACGAGCCAAAATATAATAATTTGAATAATAAATCTATCAGATATATACCCAAATCTATAAATACACATATTATATATATTATATAATAATTTATATTTATACATATATATAAATATACGAATCGAAGCGAATATTCGGCATTAAAAAAATCAATATTTGTTATTTGCTTCAGTTTTTACGAATACTAGATTTTCATATTTGCTTCGGTTCAATATCTTATAGATATTTGAATTTTTCGAATCGAATCGAAACGAATATCGAAGCGAAGCGAATCTAACGAATATTTTGCCCAGGGCTAGTTTGTATAGAAATAAAACTTCTTCACCAATATGAGATTTATATAGACTTATGTAAGTATATAGACTTATAGACTTGTATAAGTGCAATATAAGATCGTCTTCTTGAACGGTCATAATATCTTAATAATACTTTTTCAAACGATAAATTAGAGTTGATAGATTGAAATTGATAGCATTCTTTACGGCTAGCTTGACATATATTTTTTAAACGTGTATTTATACGTTTTAAGACGCCTTAAACGTGGGTTTATATGTATTAATGCATCATCTTATATAAAACTATTTTGATTTGATGAAATAGAAACAAATGTAGATAAGCCAATGGATTCCAACACTAAAGTTAAATCATACATCATCAATCATATACTATGTTAACAAAATCAGTTTTTGTTTTTGCTATAAAAAAGCCAACACATCAGGTTTATAGTAGGCCATGTCAAAAGGTGGGTTATCATTATATTTTTGTGTGTGATTACAATGAATAATATAGTAGTTTATCTTTAATCTTATTGGATTTAGTGGATGATATAGTAATTTATCATTTTTGTTTTGTGTGAGATGGCAATGAAGAGATAAGAAATCTTATTACTGATAACTGATGAATGTATTTGGAAGAAATCTTATTAAATAAATACACTAATCTTTTTTGTCGAATGTAACGTCAATTTTTTTTTCTTCATGAATGTGTTTTGGAGAAATCTTATTAAATAAAAATGATCATTTGACTGCTAAAAAAAATGTTTATTAAAATAAAATAAATTATTATTTTTTAAAATAAATTAGGACATGTTTATTTTAAAGAAAATGGCAAAATTAAACAATACCAACCTTATCGTTTAGCAAAAAAATGATGAAAGTGATTCAGTACAAATTTAAATGTTAAATCTTTATAAGCCAAATATTGTATTTCTCGCTTTTTATTTTTAATTCAATTTTTAATTTTGGGGGAAAAGAGAAAGTGTTGACGTGTTTAATAACGTGGTGGCAATTATTGTTGACAATTGTGGTCGATGTAATGTGTGAGCAATTACATTTTTCCAAGTGTATATAATAATATACTTATCGTCAAATTTGGTGGGTTCAAAAGCCAAATATAACAACAGGCCATATCATCATCATCTTAGAATTAAAGGCAATTAATTAAGTAACTAGAATATGATCATGTTTTATAATTAAATTGTAAATATAATAGTGTATTAAAATAATATCTAAATTTATATTTTTGAAATGCCTTTATTATTACCATATATAATATTTTTAAATTTCTATGTATTTAATGAGTTTTTTTAAATGTACTTCAACTTAGAAAATCCTCTATGTATATTAACAATTACAACAAACATTTGTTGACAAAAAAAATATAACAACATTTATTTATAAATATTAAATTACCTTAGATTTATAAACTATTTATAGACTATTTTAGTTTTTTAAAAAGATACATTAACTGTAAATTTAGCATAAGGTTTACTCGTGTGTGATACGAATTCTTACCTATTATATACTATATGCTTAAAACTTATAAATGAGCATTTGTATTTAATTATTTATACAAGAAAAATGAATACAAATAAATGCATCGTATTGATGATGGTGGTCGTAATAGTTATGGTGGCTACAATAGAAGAAGTAGAAGGGATCTCATGCATGGCCATGTCCTCGTTCTGGTGTGGTTTCTTTTGTCAACATGAGGTAACCTGTGAACTGTGAAGATAAATGTGAACGCAAATGTCTCATTCACGTACGTCCATCTCAATCATCGCAGTAATATTTTCTTTACTTATTTTATCGAGGTTAAGAAATATATTTCGAAAATACAAAATGTTAACATAATTTATATGAAAAACATTTTGAAGGATGGAGATTATATGAATGAAAAAATAGTCGATATATTTGTAAGCTTGTTTGAGTTTTCATATCAATAAAAAATTATGTTCATAATCAATGTGACAAGTTTTTGCAACTATATATGTGAAATGTGACATCTTAAAAATACAGATCAATTCATCATCGACTAGTAAAACCATATATAATATAACTCTCAATGTATTCTTTAAATATTTCAGAATGTTTGTAATTTGAAAGTTTGTAAATATTGTAAAGGAGAGCATCAAAAACTACGACGTCATTACTCTTATGTCACACCATGTGTCATCAAGCATGAAGAATATTAAGGAACTATACTCGAAATATTTGGACTAAGTCAATTTCTAGTTCTCACGACTCCTTAATGTGGAAAAGCTTTTTGCCACCCGAATTGGGAACTAACTCCTAATGTTTTCAACTTTCATCAACAACAAAAACTTTTGACAAACTTAGAGAGAGATGTGTTGGTTATTCTTTCCTTTTTCTTTAGTCCTTGTTATGTTTTTAATAAATACTTCTTTAATTTCATATTCTATAAGATGTTGCTTGTTGACTTGGCATCACTGAGTAAGTTTGTTGCTTCACAACTCTGAAAAATGAATAGCGGTGAAGACTAGGGTTAGGAGACTAGCTTTTCAATAAGATTTTGAGGTTTTTTTTTTTGAATAATCAAAGAGGTTCTTGGCCAAAGCCCATACATCCTCTCAGGCCCGAAACCAAAACATGTTATATGGTTTCGTCCCAAGCGCTACTCGAACCGGCGACCTCTAAGCTTCTGCCAGAGATCTTTACCAATTGAGCTATTAGCACTTGGTATTTTTTTTTTTTTTTTTTTTTTAGGTTTTTGCAACGTGTAATAACGCAAAATTGGGTTACATCTTCTTTCTTTCTTTCTTTATTTTTTGAATAAACGCAAAGGTACATGATTGAGGACACTTCCTTTTATACACAAAAAGATTAGAGCATATGAATCTAAATTACAACCCAATGAAGATGAAAACAAGTGAAGTATCAAACAACCTCCACCATGAAAACATAAGAAGCTTGGTAGATTTATTATTGTTCAACCCTAGATAGGGTTCTAATCAAAAGAAGCAAAGGTTGTCCAAGAACATTGTGTCACCCGATGGAAATTGATTCGCCCAAAATTGGTCATAGTCCACCAAAATATCGTTAATATCACATTCTTGGTTCATGGCGTGGTCTATGGCTATGTCCTCCATGGCCATGGTAGTTGCTTGGTGGTCAATTGTTGCGAGTTGAGGCATGACCGGTTCAGACAGAACTTGGTCAAACTTGATCATTTCAGAACCGTATGTATCATCATCATGAACTGTAAAAGCCTTACACACATGTTTTCCCACATAAATGGTTCTGTACAGTGGAGGATTGTCTTTGATCTTTTGCACCCGCTTTGTGCATTTGCAATTCAGGTCTTTTGCATAGGAACACCTATAGTAACACCTGTAGATATCACACTTTCTTATTGCTACTCTATTTACTTGTCCTTCATAGAACATGAAGAGCATTAACTCTGTTTTTGCCACTAATTAACTAACCTTTGGTATGGAGAAGTTTTGATGTTTTTCTGTCCATATTTCCTCCAGGTGAAGCCGTCATTTGGACGTGGAGTCGGAGAGTCTTTGTAGTTCTCAATACTCTCCATTGCGCAAATCTTTCTGCAATGTTTTATGTGAGGATTCATGAAAAAATATATGACTCTTGCATAGTAGGAGACATAGCATATTCATGAACTTTATATATGACACCTGCAATGAGAATTTGTTGGAAACTTACTTCTTTGATGATCTTTGGAGTACAAAACCTGCCATGTTACCAAACGAAGACTCATAGTGTTGTGGAGGATTAGGAGCATCCATACAAGATAGAGCAAGTGAGAAAGTATCAAGAATAGTGTCGATGAGTGACTCTGTTGAGCCTAAGCTTATGTCGCCGTTGTCGAAGAGTTTCTTAAGGCTGTTAGCACATTCTTGACCATGGAGTAGTGCTCCTACAGCCTTGTGATCAATGTTGGAAACCATACTTCTTCTTCTTTATTTGTGTTTGAGGAATTTAGTTTGGGTTTTTGCAAATTTGTGTAGGTTGGTTATGCCATTTATAAGAATATTTGAGCATATATGCCAAAATCGTGAGACGGCATGGTATCAATATTTGACTGACCAAATGAATAGTGGATATGAAGAAGTCACTAAAGTGCTAATCAATAAAGTATAGCCAAGTTGAAAAATGTGAAAGTTACTTTGTTTTTTAATAAGAACGCACGTAAGGTGGAAGAAGTGAAAGTTTCTGCTAGTCATGGTCCGACCCTTTACATGTCTAGGTGTTTTCATACATATAAATATTATAAGTTTATCATATAGTAGATAAACTATTTTTTGTTTTTCCAAAAAAAAAATTAAAAAATTAAAAATACTATTTGTTAAAGAATCATATTGTAATTGAGATAAATCTTCTATCAATTTGTGTAAGAATGAAACCATTCATTTTTATATCTCCTTTTTATTAAAAGGAAGTATGTTATATAAGAAACATCACTAATAGTATATAATTACATAATAATACCAGGTACTAAAGAATGAAGTAAATAATAATTATTAAGGATAAAAATGTGAAATACTAATTTATTCAATTTAATTAAATTATAAAACCGAATATATATATATATATATATATATATATATATTTGATTCCCTCTTTGAATAAACCAAATATAATTTGTCATGATTAGTAATAATAAAAAGGTTATTGCCTTAACTTAAGGATTTGTCAGTCCAACACATTCCAAGACACAAGCCGTTGCCCAAATACATGTATTAGCATCAACAAAAGTGTCTCTAAAATCAAGGAGACTCATGTAAGATTTCACCAACAAAGTCCCGTGCTCTGCACATGGCTACCAAGGGACTAGCTCTAGACATCGTGAGTCCTCCACCTTCAGTCATATCCACCTCTTCTTCTCCAACCCTCTCCCATTCAAAACATTGAATCAAAGACCCAAGAGTTAGAGTTACTAGCCGTTGAGCTAATACGGATCCAGGACACTCCCTTCTTCCTAACCCGAACGCCATTAGTTTATGACTCTCTCCTTCTTTCTCGAACCTCTCGGGCTTAAAACTAGTTGGATCATCCCATAGCTGAGGGTCTTTTTGTATCGCCCACACGTTCACCAATAACCTCGTGCCACTCGGCATATCGTAGCCTCCAACTTTACAGTCTTCTGACGCGACATGAGGGACCATCAATGGCGCCGCGGGGTACATTCTCAACGTTTCAAAGACAATGTTCTGAAGGTAAGGAAGATTTGAGATGTCTGACTCTTCCACAAACCTGTCTAAACCAATTTTATTGTCGATTTCATCTCTCGCCTTTTTTAGTACATCCGGATTGTTCAATAGGTTCGCCAATGCCCATTCCAATGTTACCGCGGATGTATCCGTCCCCGCAAGTATAAGAGACTGCACAATCCACACATAACACAAAAAAAAAATTGTAACATTAACTAATGAACTTATAAAACTGCTCGTATTGATTACTTACGAGTATAGTTCCTTTAATAGTACGGTCTGTGTAATACTCGGGTTGAGTTTCTTGCAGAGAAAGCAAATGATCGATCATCGTGTTCTCTTTTTTCTCCTTTCCCGCTCGCTTCTCATCGACTAGTCCTTGGAAGAACTCATCAAGCCTACTAGCAATCTTCTTGATCCGTCCTTCGAAACTCGTGATCCATCTCAAGACTGGTATGTAATCAGCAACGTTTCCAGCACCAAAAGAACTCACAGCTTCTGCGATAAGCTGCCTCACGAGTTTGGGCTCAGGATCGTCTTCTAAACCATCTCCGTAGTAACATTTTCCAGCTACCATTCTAGTGATGTTGTTGAATGTTAAGTAGGAGAACATTGAATTCATCTCAACCTTAGCAAATTCCTGTAAAATGTTTTATATATACCCTATGGTTAAATTAAATGTCATAAAAAAATAATAATAAATAACCCACACAATTCATAGAGATTTAAAAACTTTACCTAGAAACAGAGCACTTTCATTAAACATACTCCCTCGACTTCTAATTAATGTTTTAAAGACTTTTTTTTTTTTACAATTTTTAAAAAGTTCATTATAAATACAATTTTTTCTGATTTAAAATACTCTAAAAAAGTGAATTGACATTTACTTTTTTATTTTTATTGACATTTACATTTTTTAGTTATTTTTATTGACATTTATTGACATTTACAGTTGTACTTAGTTATTTTTATTGACATTTACAATTCATGGTCAGTTTTAAAAGTGAAGAAATAACTTTTTTATTTTTTATTTCTAAAAAATGGATTAATAAGAAACTAGAGTGAGTATTAAAATTAAATTTTGTCAGTATATAGTAGAAAACTATAGTAAATTAGTGACTAATGCTTAAAATTATTCTAGATTTAGAATTATAGGTCAGTGATTAAGGCCTAAAAAGTTATTTAAAATTAGTAATTCAGGTCTTATGTTTCGTGAATTAATAGTTAAGACCTCAAAATATCCTTAAATAGCAACTAAGACCTCAAAATATCCTTAAATAGAAACTAATAATAAGGCCTCAAAATATATGCTCACTTACGAGTTTAGAGTTTTGTGAGAGACGAAGTATAAGTCGCCGGATCTCGTCACGGCGGATAGAGTAAAAGCTATTAAGCCGGTGGTTGGAAAAAATCTCGACGGCGCCGATACGTCGGAGATTTCTCCAGTGTTCACTATACGGAGCCGAGAGCATGGTTGAGCTACCGTACGAGATATGTTTAGAAGCAATAGAGTTGGGACGGTTCGCTAAAACGACGTCGTGTTTCGTAAAACATTCCTCGGCGATGGAGTGAGAAGAGACGACGTAAACGAGTTTGCTTCCGAGACGGATGGAGAAGATCGGAGAATCTTGTAGGGATTGAGATACGGAGAGGAAGACACGGTGGAGCGGTGGTTTGAGGAGGCGGAGGTGGCCGATGAATGGGAGTGAGAAGGGTGGTGATGGAGGAAGGGTTAGGTTAGGTTTGAGTTTCTTGATGAGGAAGGTAACCAGAGTTATGATGATTGAGATGAGTATTGTGAAAACTAGGGTTTGATGATCATGAGGTTCTTGTTCTTCCATTGTTTGATTTGTGTTTTTGCTTTGAGTTTGGATTGAACATACACATTACGATTTAAAGACTCAGCTCACATATTATAATATAACATGACTTTCACCCAAAAAAAATAATACAACATGACACAACTTTACGTTATATATTTTTTTGTTTAGATAGACTTTTTCTTTTTTTTGGTTAAAAAATGACTCGAAATATCAAATTGTTGTTATAATAAGTCGTCTAATAATAAATAATCCTTAAAAAGCGGTCCAGTTTTCACAACATGCACGTTATGTATTAATGTATACGTAATTGTCTCAATACGATAATGTTAAAATCATTTGTTATAATTTCATTGAAAATTGTAAAATCATTTGTTATAGAATTCAATTCTATTGTTCAAAACCAAAAGATATCATGTGTCATTGTAAATACACTTTCATTGATTTAAACAATGAATAATAAAGCAGTCTCAATGAATCCAATTTTTAAAAGTCTTATGAATTTTAAAATCTAATAGAGTTGAATTTAACTTAAACAACCAATAACACCCTCTTAGATTATTTGGTTTACATTATCAATCACATGCACATCAATATATACCACATTAACTTATTTTGGTTACATTTGAAATATCTACAACATAGAAACTGTCGATTTGTAATGGTTTTTATCGAAATTTTCAATCTTCTGACCATTATAAAGTGTGAAAATATCATAAAAAATGTAAATGATCTTAAATGGAGAAACAAATAATATATAGATGACGTAATTGGAGAAACGAATAAATATTTTTCAAATTGTATGACTGAATTTGATGATGTAAAACTACTTACAATGAGGGTGTTGAAAAAAAAATTCAACAATTGAACCCATACAATGAGAATATTGAATCTACGTGGATTAGACGGTGTTGAAAAAATTCAACATGTTGAATAAAAACAAGTGGGACCATCAACGCCACATGTTATGCATTTATTGGTTGCATAACCTAATTTTTTAATTTAGAAAGTTTCTCATACGAAATATGATATAATTTTTTGATTTTCTGAGCGGATTCTCTCTTCAAATAAGCAAATATAATTTTGTCATGATTTGTAAAAACAAAAATTTGCCGAAGCTCAAATAATATAATTTAATCATTGATTTGAATAGAATTAGAATCCCATTTCAATCCACTCCAACACATACAAGACAGAAACAGTTGCCTAATAAATAGATGTATTTAGCATTAACAAAAGTCTCTACCAATCAAAGGCGTCTTACAATCACGATTGGGCCTAAAATGGGCTTGTCTTTAGCTTATTGTTTTAGCCCAGTTTCCTTAGTTAGTATTGCTTGTAATTAGTCTATGTAAAGTCTGTAAACGGCATCGAAAAAAAGAAAGATCTAACTAAAACAATGTTAAATCTCCTTCTTCATCGTCTCTCATCTTCTTCCTTACTTCCTCTGATTCCACGAAAATCGCTTCTAATTTCTTACTTCCTCTGGTTCGGAAGGTGCGAATTCGAAGGACCGTGATGTTGCAGTTGGAGATGCGATTGGTTTATCGGAGGAAGTATTTGTGTTTGCATCCTGAGACATGGCTTGATTTGAGATTTCCCCTTTCCTGATGAGGATGATAATGGTACGAATTCGCACTACATTGTAATCAAATGTTCCTAATTACAACTTCTTATTCGAATCTATTAGAAAAATTGTGTTAGATTCGTTAGGGTTAGTTGGGATTTTCATTGATTTTTGATTTAGTTTTGTGAGAGTTAAAGGTGTTTTGATCTATATACTTGATAGTTCTAAGTTTTCGAGGTATATAATTATTAATTATTTACCATTCTCAATTTTTGATTCAGGATTTTTGAAAATCGCTTGGGTTCTTCATTACTGTTTCCTTTAATATAAATGTAGTGCCAAAACCAATTTTTTTGATTATACATTACTTCGTCTAGAGGTAATAGCTAAGCAAATTCCAAAAAAATGGTGGAACCTACGTGATAGTTAGGGCTGTGGCTGATATTTTCCATGAAAAGATAAAACTTTCTTTCGAGTCAACTTAATCTACAAAGTCTACAAAGTCTGCAAAGTCTCTTTGTCCATCCTTAATTACTCCCACGTAGCTTTTCTAAATAGATCTGTGATCTTGATTCTTGAAGCTTTTCTCTCAATCCTATAGTAATATGGCTTCTTCTTCATCTTTACCTCTTTCGATTCCTTCATCTTCATCTTTACCTCTTTCGATTCCTTCATCTCAAAACTGGAAACACGATGTCTTTCCAAGCTTCCATGGGCCAGATGTACGCAACACTATTCTCAGTCACATGCTGAGAGAGTTCAGAGACAAAGGAATCATCTCGTTCATCGATAATAATATCGAGAGAGGAGAATCCATCGCTCCTGAACTCATACAGGGGATCAGAGGATCTCAGATTTTGCTCGTCTTGCTCTCCAAGAGATATGCTTCTTCGTCGTGGTGTCTTGACGAATTGGTGGAGATCATGAACAGAAAATCGGGTCAAAGGGTGATGACCATTTTCTGTAATTTAGATCCAACTGACGTAAAGAAACAGACAAGTTATTTTGGGGAGGTTTTCGCAAAAACCTGTGAAGGAAAAACCGACGAGAGGATTCGGACATGGAAAGAAGCTTTGGAGGGTGTGGCCACAATCGCCGGTTACCATTTAAGAGAGATGTTCGTCCTCTTCCACATGTTTTAAATATTTCTAACACATCAAAACTATATATATTATATTTTGTATCACTTTAACTATATGCAGCCAAGACATAGTCATCACTTTTAACTTTGCATACGAGTTCTTAGAGGTTATTTACTAACACGATGTATAAATTGATCTCTCTTCTTTGTTAGGGACGATGAAGCGGCAATGATCGAAAAAATAGCCATTGATATTTCACACAAATTGAATTTGGCTACCCCATCACAAGACTTCAGCCGTTTTATTGGGATGGGAGCTCATATGGAAAGGATGAAATCATTGCTACACCTACACTTGGATGACGTGAGGATGATTGGGATTTGGGGGCCTCCCGGGATTGGTAAGAGCACCATCGCCAGGTTTCTATTTAACCAATTCTCTAACAATTTTTCACTCAGACTACATATGGTGGATATCAAAGAAAATTATCCACTAACCTGTCCCAATGAAGTAAGTGTACAACTAAAACTGCAGAGAGAGATGTTGTCTAAGTTGCTTAATCACAAAGCTAATCCCATCACTGATTTACAAGTTGCACAAAGAAGGTTGAACGACAAGAAAGTCTTTCTTGTTCTTGATGAAGTGGACCGAATAGCACAACTAGTGGCCTTGGCCGAAAGAAAACAGTGGTTTGGTCCTGGAAGTCGAATTATCATCATATCAGAAAATAAAGAAGTTTTAAATGCACAGGGGGTCGACGATATTTACAAAGTAGGTTTTCCAGCAACTAGTGAGGCTTTGGAGATGTTTTGCATGTATGCTTTTGATCAGAAGACCCCTAAAGATGGTTTCATACAACTTGCTTACGAAGTTACCTACCTTGTCGAGAATCTCCCTCTAGGGCTTAAGGTTATGGGCTACCACTTTCGAAACATGCTCAAAGAGACGTGGATAAAGGAAATACCAAGATTAAGGAGTTGCCTCCATAGAGAAATTGATGGTGTTTTAAAGTTCAGTTATGATGCTTTAGATGACGAAGAACAACATTTATTTCTTCATATAGCATGTTTATTCAATTACGAAGAAGTTGAGAAAGTGGTAGAGTATCTTGAAAGGAGATTCCCAAATGTTGAGCGACAGCTTATGATCTTATGTGAGAAATCACTCATTTCTACTGAATATGGGATGGTAGTCATGCATGATCTGCTAATCCAGATGGGTAGAAATATTGTTCGCAAACAGTCTCCTGAACTTGAGCAGCGCCGATTTTTGATTGAGATAGGAGACATTACTGAAGTACTAAATAATGATGCACCAGTAAGTTCTTAATTCCCATTAGTGTTTCACTGCATGATTCATTTCAAGTTTAGTTTATTTGGTAACTAATCATTTCTATTTATCTTTTCTTGGCTCTTTTTCCAGGGTGCAATTAGAAGTGTTATAGGCATATATATTAATATGAAGATGAAAGACAAAATAAATATAGATGATAGAGGATTTGAAAGAATGTCTAATCTCGAATTCTTAAGAGTAGAGGGGATTTTATCACATGGTCCAAGCTATATTTCTCCAAAACTTCGATTACTATATTGGAATAAGTTTCCAATGACACGTTTGCCTTCTCCTGTCAAACTGGAGTACCTCGTGGAAATATACATGCCATTCAGCAAGCTTGAAAAGTTGTGGGAAGGAAATATAGTGAGTATTTTCTTTTATATCGTTAATTTTTCAGTTTTATTTCGAATCTAACTTGGAAGATTCTTTGGTCAGATTATTTAACTTGGAAGAAAAATATAGACTCGTATTGCATTATTTTTAATTTGACCAAATACTAGAAATTAAATCCGATATTTTTGTTGGGTAATCTTTTTATGTGCTATAGTGCTAGTTAAGTGTATAAATGCGTTTATATTATTTTCATGTACAGTCAATCCGAAATCTGAAGAGGATGACTTTAGATAATTCATCAAATTTGAAGGAGCTTCCTAATCTCTCAACTGCCACTAGTCTCAAAGAGTTACGACTCAACGGTTGCTCAAGTCTGAAGAAGCTGCCTTTTTCTATTGGAAGAGCAATCAATCTCCAAAAATTATATCTCTATGGATGTTCAAGTCTTGAGAAGCTGCCTTCTTCTATTGTGAATGCAACTAATCTACAAGAAATAGATCTTACGCAATGCTCAAGTTTGGTGGTGCTGCCTTCTTCTATTGGAAATGCAGCTAATCTCCAAAAATTAAATCTCAAGGGATGTTCAAGTTTGGTGAAGCTACCTTCTTCTATTGGAAATGCAGCTAATCTCCAAAAATTATATCTCATGGGATGTTCAAGTTTGGTGGGGATGCCTTTCTCTATTGAGAATGTCATAGTGAATTCTTGTCCCAGAGTTTCGGAGGTGGGTTGTTGGACGGATGCTAAAGATCAATTGGATTTTAGTGGATACTCAAGTTTGTTGCGAATCCCTTCTTCTATTTGGAATGCCTCTAATCTCAAAGGTTTAGATTTTAGTGGATGCTCAAGTTTTGTGGAAGTCTCGGCCTCTATTGGAAACCTTCATCAACTAGTTTTCTTGGGTTTCAAAGGATGCTACAAGCTAGAGGTTTTACCAGTCAATGTCAATTTGAAATCTCTCGAAAGACTTGATCTTAGTGGTTGTTCTTCACTACGAACTTTTCCTGAGATCTCCACAAATATAGAAGATCTCAATCTTAGTGGAACTGCAATAAAAGAAGTGCCTTCATCAATCAGGACTTGGTATTGCCTTGAAGTACTCATACTCAAGGACTGCAGAAATCTCTTGTCGCTCCCACAGCTTCCGCAATCCCTACAGGAACTAAATGCGGTAAATTGTGAGTCTTTAGAGATAGTAAATTGCTTCTGTAGCAATTCAGGATTTTTTATTTCCAACTTTGCTAACTGCTTCAAACTAAATAAAGAAGCGAGAGATTACATCATCCAGTCATCCATATGTTTCACCGTCTTCCCTAGTACAAAAATCCCTACATCCTATAGAGATTTCATCATCCATTCACCCATGAGTTTCACCGTCTTACCTGGTACAGAAATCCCTACATACTTCACTCATCGAGCTAAAGGAGGTGACCTAGTATTGACGTTGAACGAGAGGCCTTTTCCTTGTAAAGTGAAATTTAAGGCTTGCATTTTGCTGGTTAGTAAGAATGAGGTTAAAGTTGGTGAAGGAGAAGAGAATGACGTTGAAGATGGTGATAAGGAGAATGATGTTGAAGATGGTGATGAGGAGAATGCCATGGAAGATAGTAATGGGGAGAATGGCATTGAAGATAGTGATGAAGAGAATGATGTTAAAGATGGTTATGAAGAGGAAAATGACATCGAAGATGGTGATGAGGAGAATGATGTTGAAGATAGTGATGTGGAAAATGACACTGAAGATGGTGATGAAGAGAATGACGTTGAAGATAGTGATGAAGAGTATGACAGTGAGGATGACGGGGTTTCTGCAACTGTTATGATCATGGACAAAGATAATAGCGATGTTGTTATACACTATAACCCATTCTTCTATCTACATAACTCCTTAACTGAGCATTTGTACATCTTCGAATTTGACACACATGTACTTGTGAACGAGATTTTCATTAAATTCTCGATCGACGTAGATGAATTTGTGATAAAAGAATGTGGGGTTAATTATGAACACTGTGAAGCTGAAAGTGCAGAGACAGAGAAGAGAAGCATGGTGAGGCAGTTCCTTCTTAAATATATAATTCTTACTTGCACTATATGTTTATGAAGTTTATTAATAAATATGAGTCAATAAATTTTTACAGGATGAAAATGGATATACTTTGGCGATTACTGATACTATCTCCAAGTCCTCAGTTGAGTTTCTAATGTTGTTTGCAGTTTTCACGTGCTTGACTATAGATGATATCTTTTAGAAAAATAATTCTCATTCCTCTTATAATTCTTTGTATAGAGTAACTGTGAAGCTGGTTGTTCCAAGTCAAAGGTTATTGAGATGAGTTTGGATGAGGAAAATGTTATCAAAGCTACACGTGAACATGGTATTACGGATCACTCTCTTTTTAAGTATAAACTAAAACGTTGTAATTTTGATTTTGCTTTTATAACTCACAGGAGAAGAAAATATGGTACAAATAACGAATGCATTCGTCTCTTCTGAGATAAGTGTTGTCCCTTCAGTGGTTGGGATCAATGGCGATTGTGAAGCTGAAGAAGAAGTAAATGGAAATAATGGTGTAGAGACAAAGAAGAGAAAAGAACAAATTCCCTTCATGGACACGAGAAGAACTTTAGAGGTTGGGAACAGTGGAGACTGTGAAGCTAATGAAGAAGTTAATGAAAATGACGGTGTAAAGGTAAAGAAGAGCAGAGTATCTTTGTTATAATAGATATTGTTGCTTTGTTATTTGTTTGACGATGATGGAAAATAAATTTGGTGGATTCATCAAAATAATTACCAATAGGACATAGATAAATGAAATGAACTGGATACTTTTTTGTTGTTTATGGTTATGAATTGTAGTAATGTAAAAAATCTGAAAATGCTTCTCAATTTGATATATAGGGGATTAGATTAATTACACATGATTTGTGTTGTCCTAAACGATTTTGTCATGTGTATATCGTTTTTATTGTCATGAAATATTACATTTTATGAAGACTCGTGTATGACTTTACCAACAAAGTCCCGTGATCTGCACATGGCTACCAAAGGTTTAGCTCTAGGCATCGTGAGTCCTCCACATTCACTCATATCAACCTCTTCTTCTCCAACCCTCTCCCACTCAAAACATTGAATCAGACACCCAAGAGTTAAGCTTACGAGCCGTTGAGCTAGTCCGGAACCAGGACACGCCCTTCTCCCTAACCCAAACGTTATTAGTTTCTGACTCTCTCCTTCTTTCTCGAACCTCTCTGGCTTGAAACTCGCGGGATCATCCCATAAGTTAGGATCTCTGTGTATAGCCCATACGTTTACTAATAACATCGTACCACGCGGCATATCGTATTCCCCTATTTTACAATCGTCCGATGCGACGTGCGGGACTGACAAAGGCCCGGGAGGGTATAACCGCAATGTTTCGAAGATGATGTTCTGAAGATAAGGAAGGTTTGAGATGTCTGATTCTTCTACAAACCTCTCTAAACCAATTTTACTGTCGATTTCATCTCTCGCCTTTTTTAGTACTTCGGGATGGTTCAATAGGTTCGATAATGTCCATTCCAATGTTACTGCTGATGTATCAGTCCCCGCAAGTATAAGAGACTGCACATTGCACACAGCCACACATACACTAATTAAACCAAAATGTGATTATTGACTTATAAAAAAATCGACTTTATGAGCTCTTCTTGGATTACTTACGAGCATGGTTCCTTTGATCATATGGTCAGTGTAGTACTCAGGTTGAGATTCTTGCAACGAAAGCAAGTGATCGATCATCGTGTTCTCCTTCTTCTTCATTTTCACAGCTCGTTTCTCATCGACCAATCTTTGGAAGAACTCATCAAGCCTACGAGCAATCTTCTTTACCCGTTTCTCGAAACCCGTGACCCATCTCAAGACCGGTAAATGATCAGCCACATGTCCGGCACCAAAACAACTCATCGCCTCAGCGATAAGCTGCCGTACAAGTTTAGCCTCCGGTTCATCCTCTGCTCCGTCTCCGTAGTAACATTTTCCAGCCACCATTCTTAGGATGTTGTTGAATGCTAAGTTAGATAACATTGAATTCATCTCAACCTTAGCAAATTCCTGCAAAAAAAAGTTATTATATAATACTCTAATCAATGTTAAAGTTAATTACACAAATCATAAGAGACTGAACTATAGATTATTATTATTATTATTATATCATTCAACTAACAATGATTCATCCTAAAATTTTTAATTTAACTCCAAGTGAAGAGTTATAAATTAGTGATTAAGGCCTAAACTTATCCTAAATTGATGATTAAGGCCTAATCCTTGTACAAATGATCCTAAATTAGCAATTTAGCTCAACTATGAATGAAGAGTTATAAATTAGTGATTAAGGCCTAATTTTATCCTAAATTAATGATTATTACAGCTTAACTTTATCACACACAGTTATGATTAAGGACTACAATTTATCTTAAACTACTGATTAAGGACTAAATTTATCCTAAATTACTGATTAAGGACTAAGTATATCCTAAATTACTAATTAAGGCATAAATTAATATCTAAAATTAGTAATTAATCTCACTTACGAGTGAAGAGTTCTGAGATCGAGAGAGACGAGCGATAAGACGGCGGATCTCGTCGCGGCGGATAGAGGAAAAGCTATTAAGACGGTGACTGGAAAAAATCTCGACGGCGCCGATACGGCGGAGGTTTCTCCAATGTTCACTATAAGGAGCAGAGACCATAGAGGAGTAATTATAAGAGATGTGTTTCGAAGCAATCGATTTGGGACGGTTCGCTAAAACGACGTCGTTTTTAGTGAAACATTCGTCGACGATGGAGCGAGAAGAGACGACGAAGACGAGTTTGTTACCGAGACGGAGGGAGAAGATCGGAGAATCGTTGAGTGATTTAGAGACGGAGAGGAAAACGCGGTGGATCGGTGGTTTGAGGAGACGGAGGTGGCCGATGATTGGGAGTGAGGAAGGTGGAGAAGGAGGGAGGAGTTTGGGTTTTGGTTTGGTGAGGAGTTTGAGAGAGAGGGTTAGGATTAGGATGAGGGAGGTGGTGATGATGAAGATTAGGGTTTGTTGAGGAGATGAAGATGATGATTCTTCCATTGTTGAGGTGTGAGGTTTTTTAGATCTGGGGATTGTATAAAACAGAGGAAGAAGATGATGACGTGGTAGTTTGGTTCATCATAAATAAACGGTATGGTCGTTACGGCAATCATTGAAAAATGAAAACGATATTTAAAAAATAAAGTTACCAAAAGAGAAAATTAAAATTACAAAAGCCCAGCCCAGATTTAATTCCTTTAACAGGCCGAAACCCATTAAGCAAAAGAAAAACACATAGAAGATCTTAGCGTTGAACCCTAGGCAAACGAATAGTTTTCAGTCGCTCAGAAACTGGTTACGAAGTAGAGAAGAGATTGGAGTCGTAAGTTGATTTGTATCGTTACCCAAATGTTTGAATTTTCACAAAGAAGAATTTGTAAAGCTACTTGATTTTTTAAGAACTTTGTAAAGTTTTGGCCTTTCTTCTTATAACTTGTGGTCTAGTTAATATCCTTGAAGTCTTTAGATTTGATTTGCCTGAGTTTTTTTTGTAATTGTGAGTGAAAAAACTTTTGAGATTCTTCCAAAGTATAGTAATGTTTGTCTTATGTGGTTGTTCAAACTAGACTCTCATCTCCTTTGGCAACCAAGACACTGTCGATGGCAACCGTGGTAGCTGTAAGTCACTGTCTTTTTTACATCCAGGACATGATAAAGATTAAAGTTTTCATCTTTCCCTGTTTCATGACTTTGTAACAGAGTGAAGCATTTACGGGGAATCCAAGACGCCAACTCGCAAAGCTCTTTAGCGTGTCTCTTAAATTAACGGTTCCTGATGAACCTGATGTTGAGCCCTTGGTGGAGCCTGGAAAATTTGGAGATTACCAATGGTTCTCAGTCTTTCCACTTAACTCTATGAAATTTCGAAGTACCAATTATGTTGTTTTCCTGTTTTTGAGACTCTTTCATCATATTGTTGTCTGCAGTAACAATGCAATGGGACTGTGGTCCATAATTAAAGGAAAGGGTACAGAGTTCAGGGGTCCTCCAGCTGTTGGACAGGTTCGTTTGGTTTTTGTGTGATTATATCATATGTTGTAAAGCAGATTTGGTGTATTTTCTAACTCTTATTCTGTTTCCGTTTTCACCTAGGCTCTTATCAGCAGTCTCCCTACTTCTGAGATGGTGGAATCATGCTCTATAGCTGGACCTGGATTTGTTAATGTTGTACTATCAGCTAAGTGGATGGCTAAGGTGCTCCTGTTGTAGAGTCATTTTCTAGTCCTCTTAGAAGATAATGTTATGTTTTTCGTAATCGCTTTCTTATCTATCTGCAGAGTATTGAGAATATGCTTATCAATGGGATTGACACATGGGCTCCTACTCTTTCTGTTAAGAGAGCTGTAGTTGATTTTTCCTCTCCTAACATTGCAAAAGAAATGCATGTTGGTCATCTGAGATCCACTATCATTGGTGACACGATAGCGCGCATGCTCGAGTACTCAAATGTTGAAGTTCTACGCAGAAACCATGTTGGTGACTGGGGAACACAGGTAGGTTGCTATTTGCTTCCCTTCAAATTGTTTCTTGACACTGAAAGTCTGAAACCAAGTTAATTTTAATTGTATTCCATAAAGATATTAAAGAAATAAAAGCCGCTTTTTTCTGCAGTTTGGCATGCTAATTGAGTACCTCTTTGAGCAATGTCCTGATACAGATAGTGTAACCGAGACAGCAATTGGAGATCTTCAGGTAAGCTGCTTTGGCATCATATGCCCTCTCAAGCTTTACAGTTCTTCTGATGTACCAATATTGGCATAGTATGCTTTATGTGCAGAACCAAAGCAGTTTAGTTTGAACTTTAGATGTCCTCTGATAGGTGTTTTACAGAAAAGCAAAACTTAAATTTGATTTGGATCAAGAGTTTAAGGAAAAAGCACATCAGGCTGTGGTCCGTCTACAGGTAGAGAACAATTTTCCTTTCCTGAATCACTGGTGCATTCTTCTGTTTTACAGTGTCTTACAATGGAGCTGTCTTTGGTTGCAAAATCGAAATATTTCGCTTGTCTATTTTGCTTTCTTCGGTATAGGGTGGAGATCCTGTTTACCATGAGGCGTGGGCTAAGATTTGTGAAATCAGCCGAAACGAGTTTGCCAAGGTTTACCAAAGCCTTCGAGTCGAGCTTGAAGAAAAGGTAAAGGAATAGTTGGGACATTAACTAAATTATTTGAGACAGAATGGGAAAGAGAGACATGGATGGTTGGTTAATGAAAAATACATTGATTCGTGACAGGGAGAAAGCTTTTACAACCCTTATATACCTCACGTAATTGAGGAATTGAGCAGCAAGGGATAAGTTGAAGAAAGTGAAGGTGCTCGTGTGATATTCATAGATGGCTTTAGCATTCCACTCATTGTTGTAAAGAGTGACGGTGGTTTTAACTATGCCTCAACAGATCTGACTGCTCTTTGGTGGGTTATCTATATGTTAATTATCTTATAGAATCCGGATTTCAGTAGCAATCTTTGGAAAATAAATTTCACATAATTTGACTTCTGTGTCTGTGTGGCTCGATTTGAAATTCTATATTGTTCTCTACTGGTGCTAAAATCTTCCTGGCCCAGGTATCGGCTTAATGAAGAGAAAGCTGAGTGGATTATATATGTGACCGATATTGGCCAGCAGCAGCATTTTAATATGTTTTTCAAAGTAGGTTTGGTGAATATTTTATTGTTTTCATGTCTAGTGAAATGTTTTCTTGATTGAAACTGTCAGTAGTAACTATGATTATCCTGTAAATATGAATCAGGCTGCCAGAAAAGCAGGTTGGCTTCCAGACAATGATCAAACTTACCCTAGAGTTAGTCATGTCGGTTTTGGTCTTGTCCTTGGAGCAGATAACAAGCGATTTAGAACTCGGGCAACAGAAGTAGTACGCCTAGCTGATTTGCTAGATGAGGCCAAGACTCGCAGTAAAGATGCCCTTATTGAGCGCGGTATCCAACTTCGTGTCAACACTCTCTAAATTGCTGAACTATTGATTTGTTCAGTCATAATTTGTTCTTATTCTTCCCTTATATGTTGTTTCGCTGTTTAGGCAAGGATAAAGAATGGACACTCGAGGAGCTGGACCAAACAGCTGAGGCAGTTGGATACGGTGCGCTAAAGTAAGTATTCATCTCTATTCTACTGCTGGTTTCTTCTGGTTTCCGATGAATTTTGTTACCAAGGCTGCACAAATGTGATAAATGACTTTGTGGTTTTGTAATTTTCTTTCAAGGTATGCTGATCTGAAGGGAAACAGATCGACAGGTTATACTTTCAGCTTTGATCAAATGCTTAGTGACAAGGTACTGGGAATTTTTTGGAGCTAGTGTACATATTTCCATTATGAAGTCATCTACATATGCTTATTGAATATTTGGAATCATATTTCATGAGCAGGGAGATACAGCCGTTTACCTTCTTTACGCCCATGCTCGGATCTGCTCAATCATCAAAAAGTCTGGCAAAGACATAGATGAACTAAAAAAGGTACTTTAGCAGCATAAACTCAAAAACCTACAGTCTGTGTAATGGCCCTATAATTCTTACGTTTCAACACTTATTCGACTGCAGACAGGAAAGATAACATTGGATCATGCAGCCGAACGCGCACTGGGGCTTCACCTGCTTCAGTTTGCTGAGGTAAAACGCATGCTCATTAGATTTTACTTTCATATTCAGACTCTTTTTTCTTCTTGGTGACAATATGTGTGAACAATTTTGCAGACTGTTGAGGAAGCCTGCACCACATTATTACCAAACGTATTGTGCAAGTACCTTTACTACTTATCCGAAGAGTTCACCAAATTCTACTCCAATTGTCAGGTGAGCATTTGCAAAACTCTACTTGTCTATTGCAATTAAAAAACCGACCATTGTTTTCATCTTTCTCTTGAACTTTGTTTACAGGTTAATGGTTCAGAAGAGGAGACAAGCCGTCTCCTACTTTGCGAAGCAACGGCCATAGTCATGCGGCAATGCTTCCACCTTCTTGGCATCACCCCTGTTTACAAGCTTTGATACATCAAACACATCACTATGAAACTACCCAAAAGGCATTAGGGTTCTTTTATTATTCATTAATTATTCTTATTTCTATCTTTGATAGTTTAATCTCTAGTAGATGCTTGACTTGACTGTTCATTTCTTTTACTGATACTACTAATATCAATCATATAAGAATCAGAAAGCAGAATCCTAAAAGAGACTTACAATTCCAAAGCATGTAGATTCGTTTCTGTTATATTTTAAGCAGCTTGTTACCATTAACATAGAAGTTACATTAACATAGAAGTCACTAACACTTAACATAGCTTACAAAACAAAGTTAAAACATTCAAAAACTAACATAATTTATTTAGACATGATCACAACAACCATGAGAAGTTTGACAATCTTCTCTTATTCCTCTTTTCCTTCACTCACTAACCACCATCATCATCAGTGTACTCTCTTACTCTTCGGACGATTCTTCATCATCATCATCATCATCAGACACATGTACAACTCTCATCTGGAAGTGAACAAGCACGATGGTCATGCCTCCCGCACACTCGATCTTGTAGATGGTTCTATAGAAAGCCTTGTTTCTACGTTCCACCGTCTCAAGTTTCTTGAGGGTATTGTTCCCAACTCGCTACCAAACAAATAACAAAAGATGTCAAAATTTTGCTATGCTTTAAAAAGATTTTTTTTAAAAACTAATGAGAAAATTCTAAAACTTACATTAGTCGTTACATTTGTGGCTTCATAATCCCACTGATGACTATCCCACTGCCAAAAAAACTGGTCTTCATCCATTTCTACCCTAAACAGACCTAGTGTGTTCGGAGGAAAAGGCAAGTTCGGAGGAAGACACAGTGACAAGCCATAGAGGTTGGTGTTCTCTGGTCTAGTGATCCAAACACCAAGTGTGACAACTTCCAAATCACAAAGACAATGTCTAGACTCCGCGGATTTACTCAAAATCGCTCTTATGACTGAAACAAAACCTCATAATAGTTAAGTTCTTGATTGTAAAGAACATTTTTAAAATATTGGAGGTGAAATGAAAACTTCATTACCAGGATTGTTGTCAGGAACATTCTGTAAGTTGTGGTGGTTCATGTTTAGGCCATCAGTGTTCACCATTTCTGAGAGTGGAGTGTAGCTTTTTTTTTTTTTGTTTCTTTTGTTTTGTTTGGTAAGGGAGTGAAGTGAACTATGGGAGAGAGAGTTAAGTCGCATATAAATAGAAGAAGATGTCGAAGCATTGGCGTAAGATGGAATCGGACGGCTATAAGACAATGTCGTGGAGAGTTGGAGAAAAAATAAGAACCGTCGGATTATAAGCTAAAAACAGGTCCATGCACATGCATCACGAGACGTAATGGTAAGAGACGTATCCTATCCCAAAATAGAAAAAGATGGTGTCATCGACCAGAGAAGAGTCACGTACGTACGTCTCTGTTCATTGAGAGTGGGTTAAGTTTTTGGACTAGCCATAACTTATAATTATGCGTCAAAAGGTTATACTTAGATTAGTATTTCATAAGTACGTAGAAGCCACTAAATATTCGTAAGTGTTTCCTCCACTACATAGAAATGATTTTGATGTTCAAATTTTTGGTCTGTATTATTCAGTAAATACTAAACCTACAAAGATGAAACGGTACTGCATGCATGCACGATGGTACACTACGTCGTCGTGGTTCTGAGTTTACTTTATGTGAATGCATTGGGACTGGGAGGTCTCTCTTTTTCACCAGGTTTCCTCTGTTGGCATATAATTTAAAGTCGACTTTACTTCTCAGTACTACATGTTTCTATTTTGGTAAATTATATCATTATTGTTGTGTTGTGACTTGTGAATTGTGAATGAAGATGCTGGCCAGCTATGAGAGTGTGTGACCATCATTTTTTTTTTTTTTTTTTTTTTGACCATCATTTTTATCGTAGTGAATTGTAATCTACTTATATAAACTAAGCTAAAAGGAGAAAATAAACTGCTTTATTAAACACATAACATTTTGCCTTTATATACTAAAATATAAATTATCTTTAAATTTCTCTATCGAACCCTTATATGTTTTTAATCCGATTTACTAAAGTAAAAGTAACCATCATTTAGAAAAAAATTAATGAAGAAAAATGTGATAAAATTCCCTTATATTCCTCGAGTTTAGGGGTTGAAACCAATGATTTTAGGGGTTGAAACCAATGATTTTAGGGGTTGAAACCAATGATTTTCATAACTCAATTAGAATAAAAAATTTGAATCCTAAACTTTCTGGACTAAACTCGATACCCATATTTGAAAATATGTTGTGAATAGTTTTGAGAATTATATCTAATTTTTGAGAATTATACATTACACAATTACTTGACCGAAAACAAAAAAAAAAAGATAGACACAAATAATTTTTTGAGAAATTTACTTCTTCAGTTACATTCTTAACTTTATAATTTACAAAATTAATTGGTTTCTTAAACTCTGAAATTGATATTTTATCAGATAATTTATCTCATTGAAATTTTTCACAATGCTACAAAAAAACATAACAAGGAAAAGGCAAAAAATAAATCGTTTAACCAAATTAAAAATTCCACTTCGATTTGGTTAAGTTTTGGTTTTCCGGTTTAATTTTGTTTAGAACGGTTTGAATCCAAATGTCATACCATTATCATCATCTCCGTCTCGTCGTCTCTGTATCCAAAATCCAAAGGAAGCTTCGAAACCATTAGAGGCATCAAAATCAAAATCAGTAGGAAACAATGATACTACGTCGTTTCATTTGCTACAACGCTTCTTCAACTGTTTCTTCTATAGCTCCGTCTCCGAAGAAGAAGCCTCTCATCTTCTTAGGCTCTCCTCAGGTAAACAAAAAAAAGATTAAAACATCTTCTCATGGGTTTAGGGTTTTAGCCCCTATCTTATTCCTTTCTTCGATGAAATTAGGTTTCCGTAACTGTTCTTGAAGCTCTGTTCGATGCATCTGCTGCACCAAACTCTTCCTTTAAGGTATAAAATCTATAACTTTTGGTTTAGAAATTTCTCCATTTTCGAGTTTAGGTATGAATTGGATTAGCTTTGAGTATTAGAACTCAGATTTGAATGTTTTCTGATTTTGGTTCTTGAAAAAATGGGAACTTTGATTGCTTTTGAACATTTTGAATTCGATTTTTGGTAGCCCTTTTTGATTCTGATTCAAGTTTAGGTGTGAATTGGATTAGCTTAGAGTATTAGAACTCAGATTTTGAATGTTTTCTGATTTTGATTCTTGAAAAAATGGGAACTTTGATTGCTTTTGAACATTTTGAATTCGATTTTTGTTAGCCCTTTTTGATTCTGATTCAAGATAATGCGAATTGTGGTGAAGATCTTCAGGTTTACTTAAACCGGTTTTGACCCGCTTATTCGGCATTTGTTCTAGGTTGCAGGGGTTGTCACACAACCTCCATCAAGAAGAGATAGAGGTAGAAAACTTTTGCCTTCTCCGGTAGCTCAATATGCTCTTGATAAAGGCTTACCTTCTGATCTCATTTTCTCCCCTGAAAAGGCAGGAGATGTAAGGATTCTTGTCTGATGATATGTATAATGTTCTTGCTTTTGGAAAGATGCGATCTTTCGTTCTTTCTTGTGAAGATGACATCGCATTGCTTCTATGCAGGAAGCTTTCTTATCGACTTTAAGAGATTTGCAACCTGAGCTTTGTATTACAGCAGCTTATGGGAATATATTGCCTACCAAGTTCCTTAAAATTCCAGTACATGGTTAGTAAAAGTTGCTACGTAATGGAACATTCTATATGGTGGATGGAAAAGAATGTTGTGTTTTATACTGTAATGAGTCTATCTGTTTTGAAGCCGATGGTTTAATGTTTTAGGGACAGTAAACATACACCCAAGTTTGCTGCCGCTGTACCGTGGTGCAGCTCCAGTTCAAAGAGCATTGCAGGTGCAATTTTTTTTCAATCTTAACTAGTCATTCAACTCTTCTTGTTATTGCTTACAACATTGTAAGACTTTTGACTCAAATGTGCACTATAACACTTCGTGGCTGCACTAGGATGGTGTCACGGAAACAGGAGTATCATTAGCATTTACGGTGCGGAAGTTAGATGCAGGGCCAGTGATTGCCTCTAAGAGTATCCAAGTGGATGATATAATAAAGGTATTCACTTTATCATCATCTTATTATATTTGCTGGATCTTAATGACCTCTGTTTGAATCATTTGCAGGCACCAGAACTGCTCTCGTTCCTATTTTCTGAAGGTGATATATTAATTCTTGTACTTCTGCTTTTCAGTAAAAGTTATTTGAACATAATTGAATTTTGTGATTAGGGTCTAAGTGGAAAAAACCTTGCAGGTTCTAAGCTTCTTATCCGTGAACTTCCTTCGATATTTGATGGGTCGGCAGAATCAAAAGCAGTTCCCCAAGATGATTCTAAAGCTACCTTAGCTCAGAAGGTATATGTTGTGTTATCATTCAAAATAAATTGAAGGCAATGCTGCTATATTGCTTGAATGGGATAACTTAATCTGATTCGGAATTTGGTTCTTACGGGACTGAAATGCATCAATTGTTGCACAGATAGCTCAAGATGAGGCTTGGCTCTCTTTTGACCAGGAAGCTTTTGTTATACATAACAAGGTAGAGAACTCTTCATTCCGTTCAATTAGTTTACAATGAGAATCTATATAAAAAGTAAAACCGCTTTTTAGGTTCGTGCATTCACAGGATGGCCAGGAACACGAGCTAAAGTTGTAGTCCTCGATGACAAAAGCGGCCAGGAAAACGTGCTCGAGCTTAAAATCATTACCACTCGAGTAAGCCAAGCTTTGGAAATCCAGGATGGTGAACAAGATTATGTAACTTTCAAGAAAGGTTCATTGGTGTTTCCCTGTGGGGGAGGTTCTGCTTTAGAGGTAAACGCTATAGACATATTACTGCTTGTTCTCTAAATCAACTTAGTTAGACTTACTCACTGTTGATACAAAAGGCAGATGTTATATGATGTGGTAACCAAACACTAATCTAGCATTTAAAAACCTAATACTTGGTGTCGCTGATTCAGGTACTAGAAGTCCAGCTTCCTGGCAAAAAAGCTATCAACGCAGCTGCTTTTTGGAATGGCTTGAGAGGTCAAAAGCTGAAGAAGCTATGAAGACAGGCTGAAACAGAGATAAGTTTGGTCAGGAAGTTAGAATTAAGCAAATTAGAAATAAGCTTTCAATTGTTTCTGAATTACCAATTTGTTACAGGTGGTGCAAACAAACTGTACCTAGTAAATTTTGGTATGATATGATATTTCTCGATTTAACCATGCGGCATTAGCAGCATAATGTAAAATTTCTTCGCGATTTTGATCAAGAAAACTGCCTTCAAGTGTTCTTAATCTCCAACCATATGTCTATTAACTGTGTAAAAAGACCTTTGCTTATTTTATTAACTACAATTCACTGTCCCATGCTACTGGTAATGATATCTAGATGTAAGACGTGAGAATAGCCTCAATTTTTTTGATTGCACTATCAGCAGCATTAGCATTATTGGCAAACATCGTGCAAGTAAAATAAAAAAATACCTGCATCGATCACCATCGTCTAAGTGACCATATATTCTTCATGACTTTCATCCAACATCTCAACCACAGGAGCATACTGCATTATGTCATTAATGAGAGTCCATGAGCCAAAAATAAGAACTAAAAGCAAAAGATGCTTAAGACAATGCTGAAGGCAGATACATGTACCTCATCATCTTCCTCAAAGTAAATCCCGTCAATTTCGCTCTTCTTCTGAAACTCCCATCCTAATCTGTTTTCAAGCAACTCTTTGAACTTCCTTGTCTGCAAAAGACAGGTGTGAAAATGAATTTATGGATAAGACATGACAATAAGGGCTGTGAAATACTGATCTAATCTGTATATGAAGAAGTTGTACATACCCACGACAATAAATCTCCATCAACTACAGATGCCTCTTCCACTAGTGCAACAAAGTCCTGTTATCGAAGCAATGTAAGTTGTTCGACTCTATATCCTCCAGAAACAAATGATTTAATATGCTGAGTGTATGCTCACTCAGAGAAATATATCGCTAGTCAGAGATTTACCTTGCTAAGCAAATGCAGAAAGCTATCGGAAGCTAGCCAAGAATCATCAAGAAGTGCATGAACGCCCATCTCAGGATCACTACTCTCTTTTTGTAGTCCATATTTTAGTTGATGGTAGATGACTCTGATGAACTGTGATAAAAGCATCCGGGAGAGGGGAAAAATGAGTTTTTCAAAGTACATAGCTGAGGTAAAAGACAAATTTAGACGGTAAAATATTAACTGGTAAAGCCTGCTGAGTGCATATACGAGTTAGGAGGATATAAAGGGTTAGCGAATGACAAGGTAATACAGATTTCATAAAAACTAGTACATGAAAATTTACGTACCTTTGTAAATAGTTGACTCCTTGTGTGAAAAGGCTGGCAAAGGTCACAAAGAAATGTAAAATGTCAAAAGTCAAAGAGAGCATACAAATGGATGAGAACAGAAAGAAAAAAATACATCTTCGCATGAGAGAGGTATGGGTTAAGAGAAAATCACAAACAAAACATATCAAATAATTTAACACGGATGTACTTTCACATCACATCATGTCAACCATATTAAAGGGAACAAGCAATTATAATAACAAAATGGAGCTTCAAATCACATACCGCATGGATGCAGCCCATTAAAAGACTAACTATGGACTTCCACTGCATGAAGGACTCAAGAGACTGTCCCATCTGCACATTAACAGGAAAAATTGATCAGAGAATGGAACAGGTTCCTATTTGCATCCATATATATATGCACAATGTGTGTATGAGCTTCTTTTAAGTATATGTTAAGGTAGGCAGCACAAACCAGAAATGCTACAAAAGAAAATTGTAGCTCTCCAAGAAGTAAGTCTTCCGAGTCTTTGTACTCCTTTGACAATACACTTTCTAGCAGTTGAGTCTATACAAAGAAAAAGAGAAAGTGACATAAATTAGGTTTCACAGGATTCTGAGATATAAACATCTACACTGGAAAAGTTAAAGAGGACGACTCTGTTAAGGGGAGTACCTTGTCATGATTCATAGAGGTCAGCTCCTGCCCAGACATTCCCTTGTGCTTTAAAATCCGAGGAATAGAAGTGTAGTAAAACCTATTCTCTTTTGGTTCCTCAGTAGATGATGCCTTAAACTTGCCTTTCTTCATCTGTGCATCAAGTGCTTTTTCCATTGCTGTTTTAGGCCCACCTTTTAGAATAGCAGATTCATAGATGACTGTGATTTCTCCTCCAAGTGGCTCTGCAAAACACATATAGTTTTACAGTGTTCATTACTCAAGTGAGGGAAAATATTAACTATGTAGTTAAGTAAACCCACCAAAAAAATAAGGTTCACATACCAAATTTTTCAATAACATCCTTCGTAATGTAATTAGATAGGTGCTTCCATTCTCCATATCTACTTAAATTGTATGGGCCAAGATGTTTGTCAAACTCCAAAGACCTGACTGCTTGAGAATATCTCTCTTCCTGGGTCATATGAAAAAGAATGAAATGAATAATCAAGCACTAATTATCTACTACCACTAGTGCTACTACAACATGGTTTTTTCTGTTACAAGTTTTACAGAACAGATTTGATTATATTTCTCTATTCTAGAAAAATTCCGCAGAACAATGCAAATCGCTGACCAACATATAAGCAGGCAATAACAGCACTAAATTATCAAAAGGACATACCTCTTCTTCAGATACTTTTCCTAACCACTCGTCTTGCTGATTCCATTTGCGCACAATAACCTTGTATAATCAACAACAGATGGTGAAATTATATCCCATGATCCGTGTATACACAATTCCATAGCACTGCAACTTAAAAGAATACCCAATACAGAACAAGAACATGACTAAATTCATTTCTTCATCAAACAAAATTCTATGTAATAAACAACAAACACAAGTGAAAACACCTAAACCCCATCTCAGGTAAACATGAATCTTGAGACCAAAAAGATAAACAAATGAGGCAAGACAGATTCCAAACCTGAGAAGTCCCAACATCAACAAAGAAGCCAATGGTTGGTGAAAACTCTTTACCATCCCTGAAAAACAAAATCAAAGCCTAAAGTTATCAGCCAAACAAAAATTAACAGAGATTGAAAAGCACAAGAACCCATTTAAAGACTTCAAACCTGGTTGATGAACTATAGAATACAAAGTGAATCCCAGGAGGTATCATCTTAATCCCTTTGAAAGCTGGTCCAACTGAGAAAATCTATAACGAGTAATTCACAACATTGATAAGAACTTGAGAAAAGCTTCAAACTTTAAATTCGATAGAAGAAGAAGAAACAAACAGAACCTGAGTGTCGATTCCAACAAGTGTATGCTGAGGAACGTCGAGAAATAGAAGCGTAGCTCCATGCTTCACTAGCTCTAATGCTTTCTCAGAATCCATCACACACTTCCTCCTCCTTCTTCTTCGCTACTTTTTCCGGCGATCACTAAAAAGCAGAGAAGGGAACAACAAAAACGAGTAAGTTCCAGAAAGGCCCATTCATAAAGCCCATTGGGCCTTTTAACCTTAGCCCAGTGAGAAAACACGTGGTAACGCGTAGTTCACGCGTTTTACTTTCTCAACCGACTTAAAACGTTTGTTTATTTATATTCCTTTACCTCTTCATTCATCATCATTCTCAATCGTTTCAATTTCTAAAAAGTTATCTCATCTCTCTCAACGCAAACACCAAATCCAAATTTAGGGTTTTCTTTTTCTCAATTCGATCTTTGTGAAGTTGTATTGAAATCGCGAAGATGACATCAACAGGATCCTTCTCTCACCAAAGAAACGCACAATACCGAAACGCAAACGCTGGAGGAACGCTGAAGAGACGATTCGACGACAATCGCGGTTACGGAGGCGGAATCGGAGATAACCAAGAGAATCGGAACCGTTACGCGCCGTCTCAGAAACGTTTCAGACCGCAAACGCAAACGCAACAACAGAATCAGTTTCGATCTGGCAAGATTCCTCTGTATCATCATCATCATGGTAGTTATAATAACGTGTCTAGGGTTTCATCTCAATCATATAACAATTACGGTGTTGTTGATGTGATTGCTTCTAATTCAAGTTTTCCATTACATAACAATGATTCTTCTAACACCAACAATTACCAGAAACCCTTTGGTTATGGTAATAACAACAACCCTAATCCCCAATTTGTTCCGGTTCCATTACCTTATCGTAAGCTTAACGATGATGTTTCTTTAGATTCGTTGCCTGAATGGGTTCCGAACCAAACCCTAACTTCGAATTATCCTGTTAGCAATATGAATGTTCAAGCACCTGTTTTTACGAATTTTTCGAATCCGATGATATTGAATCATTCGAACATGGCTTCTGTTGTGTCGCAATCTATGTCTCAACCAATTTTTGTGAGCAAAGAGTTAACAGAGTTGCTTAACGTTCTCAACAATGAGAAAGAAGCAAGTAAACCTGGTGAATTGCCTCTAGGGTTAAGCTTTGATAACCCATCGTCGCTTAATGTGAGACATGAGTCTGTGATTAAGTCTTTGTATGCTGATATGCCGAGGCAATGTTCGGCTTGCGGCGTGAGATTCAAGTGTCAAGAAGATCATAGCAAGCATATGGACTGGCACGTAAGGAAGAACAGGATGGCTAAACCTGGTGTGAGACAAGGCCAGCAACCGCAGAAATCGCGGGGATGGTTAGCGAGTGTACCCTTATGGCTCAGTGCAGCAACTGGAGGAGGGATGGTAGAATCGGCGAAACCGTCTTTTGGAGGAGAAACACAGAAGAAGAAAGACAACGAGGAAGAGCGAAAAGAACTCGTTGTGCCGGCGGATGAAGAGCAGAAGAATTGCGCGTTATGCGAAGAGCCCTTTGAAGAGTTCTTTAGCCATGAAGCTGATGATTGGATGTACAAAGACGCAGTCTATTTTAACATGAACGGGACTATAGTTCATTCTAAGTGTATGCCTGAAACCAAACCCGCAAAGGAACCAAGAGAGATCCCGAGTATAATGCCTGTTACAGTTCCATCTGTTGCGAGTGCAATAGTCTGCTGATTTGAGATTTACATTAGTCTTTCACATCTCTCTTTTAGTCATTCGTTTTTTACAGCAATGTACATACATAAATCAAGTTGTAAAGCAAATTCAAATCAATGAAAAATTATTTTTTTAACTATATGATCTCTGTATACTTCTATGTTACATTTAAATATACATAAGCTTTTATATCTCTGTTTTAATCGTTACTTGAAAACAGAGGATAAACTTTGTAAATGTTCGACTTAAACAAGGAATCTTTTAAACCTAATCGTAACATGAAAAGTTTACAAGAGTGTATATAAGTAGATTTGTTTGCACGAGTTAAATAATCTAAGCGTCTAAGCCTAACAAAGACATATACATAACCTAGCTCGTAAGAAAGTGAATGATGACAACAAAGACATATACATAACCTAGCTCGTAAGAAACTGAATGATGACAATGACTGATCTTTTGAAGGGAAATGCTTACTCTTTCTGTCGGAAAAAAGAAAAGATGGTACTAATCGAGATGTTGAACTTCTTGTACTATGTTTTGATTTTACAGCCGAGAGATTTGGACCGCGCTGTCCTCTGCTGTTTCAATATCGTGTTTCGTGTTTGGAACATGTGACTATATATATCCTGTGTAAGAGATGAGCACCTCGCTCTCTTATATAAACACTATGATCCAGTGATAGAGATTGTTATTTCAACTAAGGTTGAGCCCAATGCGCGGTATCGTGGAGCAATTTCTTGAAAGTGGACCTCAATACTTTTCTGGACAAAATTTAAGCCGGGAGTTTCTTCATTGATCGAGGAGAAGAAAGTCGCTGTGGTGTTCGCTATCCGCGGATCTAAATCGACCATTACTTGTTTTTTACCAAACAGCTTACAACCCACTTTTGTTCTCTTCTTATGTTCCAAGTTTAGTGCAACTACAAATCAACCAAGGTAACAAAAGGAAAGATAGAGATTGTTAAGTAGTTTCATTTTCAAATTTTCATGTGTTTCTTGTTTCTTGTTTCATCTCCTTTTTGATCCAGATGACTTCTAGTCAATTATTAACTTGTGTTTTTGCTATTTATCTCTTATATATAAGCGGATTTTGAATGTTTTCATACCCAACACAAACGTTAAGGTACATGCCTTTACGAAGTTTTCAATTCAATGTGTTGGAATTTGTGTTACGAGCTATGCCTTAACCAATAGTTTGTGGCAAAGATTTGTTAGATTTACTTAGCCTTTTTTAACAATGAGAAAGAGAAGAAAACTTCAATAGCAAGTAACATTGACTAATCTCCTCTTAGACTAGCTATAAGCTTTCATAGTATGGTGCATGGTTGCTAAAAAGTGTAACATGATGAATCTGTGAATAAAATCCTTACCAATGCAATGTTCTTGATCATGTGGCATGTAAGTAAGAACAGAAATGGCTAAAACCACTATAAACCGCAGAAATTGGAAGTTTGGTTTGCGAGCTTTGTCTCTATGGCTCAATCCACATCATAGCCCAAATATCATATATTCATATGTAATGTGGACTTACGTATTTGTTATCACACTCAAAATCATAAACTTATATATGATCCATCAGTCAAGTTACCTCAACCACCCTTTCTCGTTTAGACAAAAACAAGAGAAACCTAACTAGATGTTACATTTTCGTACTAAAGTAAAAGTAACTTAAGCTTACACCCGAAAGTGAGCAAGAAATTGCGGCATTGTTTGTTAATCACAACTTATAGCACTCACCAATATTGACAAACTCTAAATTTATAAATCGGTCGCCTAGAGACACCAAAAACAGTTATTACTTGACTTTTTTTTTTCGGTGTTGATAGTTTTCTAAGCCGATTTGGTCAATATTGGGGAAAGGGTACTTACAAAAAGTGGCACTTACCAACTGCAATTGTTTTACAAAGCAAAACCTAGCCAAAATATATAAATATACAATTGCAATTACATGTTTATCTAAACTCGAAGAAATGGTTGGTTTTGTCGTTTGAGTTTTGTGCATGCACTAGGTGTCGGATGCTTTTTTTGACCACCACAAAATGTAACATACATCTCTAAACAAGTAACCGTGTATGTTTTTGCATTTCTTACTTAAGTCACGGACTCACCAACCCCAAATTTGGTTCATATATATATTGTATAATTTTCTTACTTGCAAATTTTGTTTATATCATGATGAAAAAAAACTAAGATTATTGTTATGAATTATAATATCACTTAAAAAAACTTCAACGAACGACTTTGTACCATTGACAAACTTCAATAATAACACGTGAATCGCTTAGTTGAACTTTTTTTGCACGATAATGGGTTTCATAGGTTGATTTTGATGTTTGGAAACAATGATCTCATGCATAATTTGATAACCAAATTTGCGTATGTGATGTTTTTCTTCTAACTAGCATTTGCATATATGTAAGTGATATTTTCTTCTTCTATATTTAGGTTAGTACCGATTGGGTTGGGACGGATCAATATAGTGGAAGAGAGGTCAGCAACCAAACCCCTCGGCTAAAAATATCAAATTCTTTTAGTTTTTATTGGTTTAAATAAAGATTAAGTAAGTCATATCATAAATTGTAGGAATTTCCCCAACCTCTCACAAATAGGGTAGAGAAAATAAATAATAATGTAAACACTATTATCTTTTACTATTTACAAACTTTTATAAATATAAATAATAATAATAATTTAAAAATATTGAAAAATCTGACCAAAATTTTTTAAATAATATGGAAAAGTGTATTATATATATATATATATTAAAAATTTAAACACGAGTAGCATTTTACCCTCATTAAAAGTCCTTTCTAATTATGCTAGTGGACGATTTTTTTTCTGAAAAGCATAATTGTTAATTAGAGCCAATATTTTAATTTGAGATACACGTATTGCTTTATATTTATTTTGTAATTAGTCATATTTATATTTATTAAAAATTTACGACTGAATCACGGTTAACCGAGATATAAAGTGAGACAATGATTGATTTGGTTTAGAACTGATTTAACTCATTGTTAACCATATTTGTATGAACTTAAATTTCTTCAAATATAATTATTATGTCTTCATTATAATATGGCTACATGAGTATATTATATAACAACATAATTATTATCTTTTTGAACAATACGTACAAACCACAAAGCATGCGCGGTAGTTACAGTCATGAAAATAATTAGTATCCGAACTAAGTCATTTACTTTTTCAATTTTCAATAGACCATATAAAAAGAAAATAAAAAACTTGTAATAAAAATTTAAAGAAATGTAACACAAACCGACATATTCAAGTTTTATTCTTTTCAAACCTTATGAATAATATTTTTTTTTCAACGTTAACGACTTTAATTAGTAAATCAGAAGGAATCTCTATAAATTTTCACAGCTTCACACAGACTAAAATCTCAAATATTAATATTTTCAACCAAACCGTTCTCAACTCTCAACTATATATAAATAGTAACACAAACGCATTATAAACACATTTTCACATTATCCAATCAAATAAACACAAAATCAAGAAAGTTCAAGAAATGGGAAATAGCATTACTGTAAAGAGAAAGAAAGCTAAAGTGATGAAGATCGACGGCGAAACATTCCGGATAAAAACTCCGGCGACGGCGAGAGAAGTCACGGCGGAGTATCCTGGTTACGTTCTTTTAGATTCTCAAGCGGTTAAGAACTTCGGAGTTCGAGCTAAACCGCTTGAACCGAACCAAATCTTGAAACCAAAGAAGACTTATTTTCTCGTCGAGCTACCTAAGCTTCCGCCGGAGACTACGGCGGCGGAGAGGGATGATAGTAATAATAAGCTTCCTTACCGGAGAGTTATGTCTGGAATCCACGTCGGTGCTAAGGAGAGGTTAGAAATGTTGATGTTGTCTCGTAGAACGGTTTCTGACGTCACCATCGGAAGATCTGACGGCGGAGATGGGTTTAGACCAGGGCAGACGAGTGTGAGGTTGAGGTTGCCTCGTTCTCAGATCACAAAGCTTATGGAAGAGAGTAAAGATGCTTCCGAGATCGCTGACAAGATTTTAGGTATATATATGGAGAGGTCCGGTGAGATTTGCGGCGGAAGAGGTGGTGGTGATGGTCGCCGGAAACTTGGAAGTGGAGAGATTAAACCGCGTGAGGTAATTCTTGATTTTTTTTTTCTTATTTTTTTTAGTCAAAACGTTTTTATTTTTTATCGCGATAAATTATTTTTTTTGCGTGAAAATTTAAATATACCAATTCAACTTAATAGAATCTTTTATTTTAGAGTTATACAAAATGAGAGCAATGAGTGTAAATAACCTTAACTAATTTAGAATCGATAAAAATAACAAAGTTTAGATTAAGTTACGAGATTTCGAATACCGACTATAAAACTAGTTTTGATAGAAGAAATATATGAACTCGGCTTAAAATTTGTAATTATGAAAATATAATAATAATTATGTCAACTATCATATTTTGGAGCTAAGTATTATAACCCGAAATTACGCAAATAGTTTAATTTGTTTATAAGAGTAGAGTTCCCTAAATTGATGTAGAAGACAAGAAACATAACTAAATTTTTGTTAGGCATTGCTTTGACATTTGATTTAGAGTTATATTATTGTTATTGTATATTCCACTAACGCCACTAGTGTATATATATATGTAACTTATCTATTTATGTCATCTAGCTACGTGAGTATGACGTAACTAATATATATACAAAACAAAACAATCTTCACATATTCATGTTTATATAGTCAAACACAGATATAGGAGCAGGAGTGGACTTATGAAAGGTTTGACAAACGAACTCGTAAATGGATTCACATGTTCTTGAAACTATCTATGTTAGTCTTAGTAGTCTTAATAACCATTACATCGTCGAAAGATATGGTTAGAAAACGCATGGTTATTAATTAGTTTATGTAATATAGCAATGATCAAGATCTTCTCGATTATTCAAATGATTTGGTTGTTTGTTTGTTTTGCTAATCATATAGTATTAATAGGTTTATTAAGAGAGTCAAAGAAGTAATTATATTAAACTTAAACATGTGCAGAAGCAGGTGAGTTTCGCCGGAGAAGGTGGACGGGAGCTTCCTGTTCTATGGAGTAGAAATGAGAAATAATCATCAAATTTAATTCGACGACATATTTTTCAAAGAGAAATTTATATTTTGTTAATTGTGGTAGGACTCAAATCTTGTGTGTGTGTGTGTGTATATCTTTTTAAATAGCAACTAGAGATTATTTAGAAATGTGTCATTTCATACTTTAACTTTAAGATATGATAAGTAATGTATAGGTAAAGTGCTAATGGACATGCATGGTTGGGTGCCAACCCTACTAGTAACCAAATAATCAACAATCAATTATATTTATGTAATCAACTTTTATTTTAGAGTTAAAAAAGTATTCCCAAAACGATTGGATTTTTCAAAGAATCTAAAGACAAAAAAATGGCATTGCCTTTGGTTGCAACTAGCAACTTGAAAAAGTTAGAAAAAAGTTTTGGGCAGTCCACTAAACGCAACTTAGTCTCATGCATATGAAAGATACACACAATACACATATATATGTAAAATAATAACACGACTTGTACAATAAAGAAACATAACAATTAACACACTCACTATTCAAATTGCATGAGAATCTAAATACACTGAAATTCACGATATTTAACAATATATATTCAAGAACTTAATCATCATGCATGACGAAGATATTATTAACTCCTTAGCCAATAACTTTTAAAACAACACTTTCACACAATTTCTGAATTTAACTAGTACACCCTTTTCTTCATATTATGACTTTTTAGTGACTTTGCAAAAATTAGGTGTAAGAGAGAGATGCATGTAGAATAACAAAAATACCCTAGTTTCCCAAATTAGACCAATGCTCATAATGTTTTGTCATCTATCTATCTACTAAAACATTCCAAAACTATAAACTATGAATTTTGTTTGTATGTATTCATCATTAACATTTCAACTCTCTTTGCCTTTTTTATGGGTGGAAAAATCAATATTCTCTTTCCCCACTAAAGAGGAAGAAGGAAAGATATGGTATTTAGAGTGCTTTAGGTGCACCACCCTCCCACTAGATTTGCTAAGCAAAGCCTATCCTACCCAAGTACCATTATTATATTCAAATACATAATATTTGACTTAAGTTCATAGACAAAAGACTATGTGAAAGAAAAAATAAACTATGTCACGATGAACCATTAAGTGATGCACACTATGGTTGGGGCCTATCACGTGGGTTTGGCTTGGTTTATGATTATCCTCATTGTCAAGATCAAGTCATTGGTGGATGGGCTGCATTTTATCTTGGTGATTGGGTCCATATTAGACAACTTTTTTGATTCATATCATAAAGCATAATCACACCATGACACTAAGATGGGGACCTTATAAGGGAAGTGGTGTCTCTGAGCTTCCATTATCCTTGGAGATATTTAGTAGTACTGGAACTTAAGGTTATAATATGAGAAGCATCAAGGACCTTTGGACTTTGATAGCCAAGTCTCTGATCAAGGGTTTGAATTTGGTGTCGAAAAATGTCACAAAGCTCACAACCTTCCTCCGGTAAAATGAACATGATCCGTCGCCGTGGGTCTTCAATACTAACAACTGAAGCCATAGATTAGGACATGTAGAATTTAGGAGGCATTTTTCTTGTAAAATAGTTAGTGTTTTAGTAAACAATATATTTTATTTATATAATTATGTTAATGAAGTCTTAATGTGATTTTGTACCAGTAATATTACTTGTGAATGATCTTCTTTAATATATATATTTTGCCTAGCTATATATATATTAGATGCATATTTTCTTAAACATATTAGTTGCAGAGAGATTAAGTATAATTAAGTTGTGATGATGACTGGCCACGAAATGTTTTCTTACAATGCTTCCCAAATGAATTGAATAAATAAGATCATAATCCAAACTAGAGGTTTCTCTCTATACACGAAAGTGAAAGTGTTTTCATTATTGCGGTAAAATGCTTTGTGTGCTAACAACTACTTATAATTAAGGACCATCATGGTTTCAGAACTCTTTTAATTTGCCTGTTACTATTATCATTGCACGTATTCTCTTGACATAATTATAACGAGAATCAAACGTACATGCATGAAAACATTTTTTGGGGTTTGCTTTTAGAAGCTAGCTATCATATTTTTTGGTTTCGTGTGGTTCTTCTAGTGTGTTCATTTGATTTCTGTGGATTATATGAATTATATAACCTCCCACTTGCATGGGCTTCGACATATTATTGGGTTTGATGAATTGCTATATTTACCCTAGAGGTATGGGCTTAAATTAAAAGTAAGATAAAAGGCCCAAGAGATACTGAACCTTTTTTTTTTTGGTCACCATACTGAACTTATTTACCTTAATTAATCCAATCGCACCAAATTCACAAAAAAAAAAAAAAAAAAAAAAAAAAAAAAAAAAAAACATTATAAGGCTATTATTGGTCACACAGCCTTCACAGGTCACGTATTAGTTTAGAGATATTCTGTTTAGCTGACAAATATGTTCTTAAAAACTATATACTAATGAAATAAGGTATTCAAGCATCTAGATTATATATTTATATATGAATTATAAAGTATTTTCAGATATAATAGTAGTAAAATATTCATTTTGATTTTTATAATTAGCAAATGCATTCAAACTACAAATCCCTTATCTAGAGGTACCTACGTGTATATATATATATATATATATAAAAGAATTGACAAGTACTTAAACTCCGTAGTTAAAATACAAAGTATAATGCAGAGGAAGTACGCATACTATACGAAGTACTTCAAATTCTTAAGAGTCAAAAGTCAAGAGAGACACATGCATAGATTTCAAGTTAAGGCCAATCTCTTCTCTAAAGATATTGTGCATGCATGTTTCACACCGTTATCTTGCTTTTAATGTTTATTTGTTTTATTGTTTTGTTTTCGTTTCTCTCATAGTTTATTAGTTTTAGCTCCACCAATCAAGTCAATCTCAATCTAACTTAATACTTAACTAATTTTTAATTGAAAAATGTATTTAAAAATAATTGAATTTTGTAGAGATGTTTAAATGTATAGTAATTTTGCAATGTGAAAACATTGTTTATATCTATCACTACAAAAAAAAAGTTCTATCGCATCACATTAATTGCATAGAAAAACTAAATTGATACTAATTTGAATTATTTTATTAATAATTGATACCCAAACTACAATTTAACATCAATTAGATGTTAATGTTGATTTGTGTTGCAGCACTTCATTAATATTGATACAGATCATCACTTTCATGTTGAAGAATCTCACCATGAAATTGATGAACCTCACCCTGAGTTGAAAACCAAATTAAGAGCTGAAGGACTATACCTTTATAAAAGATATAGCACGCAAATGTAGCTTCTTCATTGTGCACCATCTTGCCTCCAAATTATATAATCTGTTCATCACTTGGAACCCTCTTTTTTTCTTTAATCAACTACTTTCAAAGTACTGATCTTGCACTACCAAAAATGTTATTTTGCATAGTTAAATTGCATCAAATAATTAAATGATACAAATTTGAGGTATTTATTAATTTTTTATATCAAAAATATAACTTAACATATAATTGATGTATATTGTTAATTTGTGTTGCATCACTTTATTAATACTGATCACGTTGTATCACTTTTACATATTGTTACAATTTATAAAATTATATTATTTAAATAATTAATGTATTCACTTACATAAAATATTTACATAAAAAAACGATGCTAATTACGTTAAAAATAATGAATTAATTTTGACAGTTAAAACATATATATATATATATATATATATTTGATCTACTAAACAAAATTAGTGTTATTTGATTTTTATTTCTACTGGTTCTTATAAAACCAATTCACTTCAATAAAACAATCAATCAATATATATATATATATATATAGGATCGTCATCATGCATCATTATACAATTCGTTTATATCAAAACATTAGTTACACTACTTTTTCTTTTCTTTTTGATATAAGATCTAAACTTTAAAGTGAAGTAAATTGGAGAAAGTATGAAGTCCGGTTTATAAGGGATCGTCCATGTGCACATTGGGGAACACATTCATATACGAACTCTTACGTGTTTATATATCTGTCTCCCTTTGACATTGAGGGAACACATTTATATTTAAATTATGTACACATGCATGGATATATATGCATGGGAATCACGTAGTTCTTATAATTAGTACATTGAACTTTACGGAATGTATAAGCCAATATCCATATATAGTACCATATAATAAAGTATTTATTTGTCCTATTCGATCTCTAGCTACCAACGTCGCATTTTCGAATATTTGCTGCATGCTAGTCTCTCTACCAAAGCAAGGACGCAAAAAAAAAAAAAAGACAAGAATAAACTATATATATCATTAGTTCATGAGGTTGTTTAAGCTTATAAAGACTGTCCGAACAAAGTTACCTATAATAGAGTAAACGTTCACTTCTGAAATTCATGTTTTTGCATCTTTGAGTGCTTTATTCTTCGGGTCTACGACAGATAACAATATGCAACAATTTACAATCAATTTTTTTTTTTATAAAATTATTCAACGTAATTATATATTAATAACATTTTGATATCGATAAAAAATCTTACTCTTTTTTTTTTGTTGACATCGATAAAAAGAATTACTTTGTTTACTACTATCGATAAATTTCGTCTACAAATTATAAATACTAATTACTAACTTACTAAGAAAATATAGTTATTTCCGAACACTATAATTGGTGGATCTAGCCAAGTGAATTAGATGCTGTATTCATTAGACTATCCTCATTGCATAGTCTTTACACAAATTTTACTTTAAGATTTGTGAAAAAAAATCCTTATATAAAGATTTTTCTTAAGAGCCCATACAATGAGGATGACCTTACTACTAAACTAGATTTACCAACAAACTTATCGTGAAATCAAACTAAGCATATGTGCGAAGTCCAAATATATATATATATATATATATATATATGAACACATCTTTGAGTTAACATGTAGTTAGAAATTATATAATTCAACTTGTGAACAGGGCCCATGATTTGTTGTTTTTTGGCTACCGTTGAGCCGCCCTGAGTCGAACTAAGTCTACAAAAGAAGGTTGAAGAAAGATTTCGTTGGTCCACGCGCAAGTGTTAAGCCAGAAAAAGACAAACCACATGTCTCTTCTTTCCCATAAGAGTTTTTGCTAGCCACGTTCTCTTACATATAACTCTATACCTAAATTTCGGCAATCCTTGTTCAGTTCATAGATATATTATGATGTGTTCTTTATGGTATGAGAAGTATTGATTACATAATCAATTTGGCCTCTATTTTTCTATATAAATTAGTAGACC